CAGGAATACGTTAAATACAGTACAAAACATACCAATGTCAAACCCTCACTTTGCAAAAACATGAAATGATCTAAATCCTATAAATCTTTAAAATCCACGAAATGCTTCATTTCAAAACTGGAAGGCCAGCTGGGCATGGTTGCACAGACCTGTAATTACAGCACTTGGGAGGCTGAGGCAGGAGGATTACCATGAGTTCAAGGCCAGCCTGGACGACATAGCAAGACCCTGTCTCGAGGAGAGGCTCTGAGAGCTCTGGGGTGACACCGCCTTAGGGGACCCCCACTGTACATGCAGGTCGTGGCTGGCTGAAACCTCATTATGCACTGCATGACTGTAACTGCAAGCTGTGTCTGCCCATGTGACAGCAGCAAGATCTCTAGGACACCCGGCCCCCTGCAGGTCCCACACGGGGTGTTACTTGAGGTCTTCGGGCAGCACTGCAGGTGAAAGAAAGCACAGGCACTCCATTCCAAGGCCCAGCACTGGTTCCCACCGAAGCAGGACCAAGCTGGAAGGGCCGCATGTCAGCCAAGGCTGTGCCCAAGGCAGCCCCGGATGCCCAGGGGCCTCAGAGGCTGCACATCCAGGTGAAAGGCCTTGGCTTGTGCCACATTCAAAGGAAATGTAGCTCAGACCACAAGGAAATGCCAATGCACACACGCCGTATCTTCACTTCTAGTTTTACCCAAATCCATTTTGTTTCCAAAATGGTTAAATGTTTCAAGTTACCCGACCACTTTTCCAGCTTAGAGAAAAAGGGAAAATAACTGGAGCCCAGAGCTGCTTTCTTCACAACACACAACAGAAATCTTTATTATGAAGTCGGCCAGCGTGGAGCCCCGCCCAGAGGCGACCCGTGCCTGATCTGACAGCTCAGAGGAGCCCAAGCCTCCTGGCCCCTCTTTCCAGGCACTCTCCACCGCTTTACAATGTGATGCAGAACATCCTTCCCTCTCCCACCGAACAGATCCAACCTCCACTCCACTATGGGAAAGATGATCCAACACACTTTTAATCAAAGTGGTGATGTCTCCACTGTGTAGATGTGAAAGACAGTTGTTCCTTCAAAACAGGAATCCATTTCCTGCGACTCCACAGCACTTCAGTGCATGGTCTTCCCGCAGCTTAAGCAGTTGGTGTTCCCAGCACATTCTAATGGGCACCTGGACAGACGGTGGGTTCCGGGCTCTGCTTGAAGACTCCTCTGTTCACACAGCTCAGCTGGGCTCCGCACCAGGCAGGGGGGCAGAGGGGCCAGTGCTCCCCCGTCGCCCCGACCTTGGGAACTGAGGACAGAGGGCAGGCAGGGCAGTGTGTACCAGGCAAGGCTCAGAGCAACGAGTGAAGGTGCCGCATTCCGCTTCAGAGCAGTGGCTCCCGGCGCATCCTCCTGCCAGGACTAAGTGGGCACCAGGCACTGGTGACAAAGCAAGCACAGCCTGCAGCAGCAGTGCTCTGGATCTTGCTTTCAGACGCCCTAAAACTCCTCCCCACCCAGCCAGAGGAACATCTCTGACAGTGTAGATCATGTAGGCTCTATGACCATCACATGCGTGAGAAAATAAAGATCGTTATTTTCCAAGGGTATGAGGACTTACTAAAGCTGTTAGCTGACATTCTCACTGGGACCCTCCATATGGACCCATTCTCAGAAGTCTTTTCCTTCAGAGAAAATGCTTATTTTTTCAAGATTTAAATAGCAGAAGTGGTGGTTTACCGGACATTTTTAAAAAATCAGCCTTGCCTTGTCCTGTGAGTTATTTAATTGTATAAGTATGAAGGACTTACACAGTAGAGACAATTATGAGGAAAAACCAAGGCTAATCACCTAAAGCTACACCAAGCGCGATCAACAGAACCACTACTGCAAACTCATCCAGAACCTGTGCCCACACCCCACTCCCCCCAAGCCCCACCCATCAGCCACAGAACAGGACTCAAGGTCCCTTTGTCCCCGGGCACACATACAGCTGGCCCTCTTGCTGCCTCCAAGTTCTGAGTTTCCCCATCTTTCAAGACCTGGGCACTTCTGAAGGGCCCTGGTCAGGGCACTGGTGACACCTTCTGTTTGGGTCTAACATTTCCTCTTGCTTAGACTGCAATTCTGGCGCCACCAGAGAAGTGACAGGTCCTCTGCACACCTCACGGGGTTCTGACCTGTGTCTTCCTACTAGTGATGTTACCCTTGGTCACTCACTTCAGGATGCACCTGCTGAATGTTTCCACTGGGAAGTCACTATTCTATTTTACCCTTTGTTTTTTATAAATATGCTGAGGGAAATATTTGGGGTTTTTGTTGTTGTTTGTTTTTTGAGACACTGTCTCACTATGTAGTTCAGACTGGCCTTGAACTCCCAGAGGCCTTCCTGCCTCTGCTTCCTGAATGCTGGGGTTACAGGCCTGAGCTGCCACACCCGGCTGAGAGAGATATTTTGGAATTATGTAAATATCACAGGTGGAAGGAGAAATGAAACCTAAGTGCAGTACAGGATCCTGTGTTGTCCTGAAACAGAAAAAGGGTATTAGTGGGAAACTGAAGTTTGGATGAGGTCTATACTGCAGTTAGCAGCACTGTGCCAGTGCCAAGTTTCTGGCTTCTGTATGGACACTTCACTGCCTCAGTGCCAATACCAGAGGAGGCTAGTGAAAAGAATAGGGAAGCGTGCTATTATTTTTGCAACTTTTCTGAAAAGACTAAACTTACTTGATTGTTAGAAGTTTACCAAGTTGCAACCTCTGATTCTGTAGGTCTAGGTAAAAGCACATTTCTCACAAACTCCCAAGCAATGCTGATCGATGCTGTAGGCCTCGGGCCACTGTTAGCAAGCCTGGGAAAGGCGGCTCACTTCATCCCTCACAATTTCCAAGTGCGACAAACTGCCAGACTGCATCAAACTGCGCTCCAGGCACAGCGACACTGACCCGAGGCACTCCTGAAACCACATGCTGGGCACACACTGAGTAACCCCAGCACATTGCTTGCGGCAACACACGTCTGACTGGCCCCCCAGGCTGCAGAGCAGAACCATCCGCTCCACTCCAGGGGACAGGCAGCCGTGGGGCAGTGACCTTGCACCTGCCCTGTCCCTCTGGAAGTAGGGGAGCAACGGTACCAAAGCCACAAGGAGGCAAGCAGGCGCTGGAATTTCTGTTCAAGGTGAGTGACCTCTGCTTCTCCCACTGAAATGACCTTTAAGAGAGTAAACCCACAAGAAAAAAATGTGGATGCAGGCAAGAGATCTCACTAATGTCCTCCTGGATCGGAGAGGTTTCCACTCAGGAAAGCAAACAACCAGCTGGTGCACACGGAAGTGGGGCCTTAGCCTTCTCGCTGGGTACAGAGGCGCTGACTCTCTGGCGCCCCTACCGAGTCGAGGTGGAGCAACTCCCAGGCCAAGAAGGCTTCCGAAAAGCCGGGAGAAAAACCTGGGCGTTCCAGGTCCCATCATAACAAGCTCCTAGTCACCAGAGGGTAAATCCATCCCACATAGACCCAGTGCCCTTTGCCAGGTTCCTCCTGCCTAGACAGTGATAATCACCAGTACTGGAGGAGGCCATGTACTAATACTGGAGGAGTACATGTCATGCGCAACAAACCAGTATCTAGCAAAAAAAATGGGTAATCTTAAGAGTAAACAAGAAATCAAAACAAAGAAAACTGAAAAGAATCCTTATTACTTTTCTCAGAGGCACAGATAATGCATTCATAAACAATAAACTACCACGAGAAAGGAACGAGACAAATGCATTCTTAGAAAGTAAAGGTTTGATCCTGGAAATTTAAAAATTAAAATAGGATTGCGATAAACTGAACCCCTCTTCCAGAAACAAGAAAAATGGCACGGAATGAACAGAGACAAGAGGGGTCAAGCCAAGCTGTCTACCACATGCTAACAGGATCTCCTAAAAGAAAAAAGCACAAAATCAGAGCAATAAACTCTCAAACGACCCAAGAGAATTTCCCAGAAGTGAAGGACAAGTCCACAGAGTCACTGAGCACTCGGACTGGGGCTCCACATACATAGGCACACTGCAGAAAGCCATAGGGCCAGATATAAAGTCCTGAACATCTCCAAAGAGGGAAAAAGTTATCCAAACGGAGTGAGAGCCACTTGGCAGAGATTCTCGCTAGAACGAGAAAGCCAAGATTAAAGCAGGCGTGGCAGGCATCCTGAAGAAACCAGGAACAGAACAAGCAAACTCTCAGCTGGTACCTGAAGAGTAACTGACCCGGATCAGGGCCTGGGGAAAGAGGCTGCAGGGCTGGGCTCCATCCCTGAGGAGTCGCAACCCTGTAGGGAGATCAGGGGAGCGGAGAACGCGAACAACCGAAAAACAAAAGCTGTCCAGGAAGGGGACACGCCGCGAGGATACTCGGGCAGTCCTAACGCACACAGCCGCGCGCCCACGGCGGGCAGGAGGCGGGATGCGGGAGCTAAGTCTTCCTGAACCGCTGGGCCGGGCACCCGGCCCGCCGAACCCGAGCAGGGGCGGGATGCGGACGGGGCCCGGGGTCCGGCAGCCTTCCCGGCATCTCTGTCGCAGACAGTCTTGGAGTCAACTCCTAGGCACACGACCTCCAGAACGCGGGCCCGCGGCGCCCTCGACGCCGAGTGCAGCCACCCGCGCGCCACTGCTCGGCCGCCGAGGGACCGGACACGCAGCGGTCCCGACCCTGCGCCCACGAGAGACCGCGGCCCCGCACCCCGCGGCAGCGTACCCCGCGCGCCCGCCCCGACCGCCCGGCTGCCGGGGCGCGCACTGCGGACACCGGCCGAGCCCCTCCCGGCGGGAGCGCGGGCCTGGAGCGGGGTGCGGAACCGGCGGCGCAGCTAGAGGCCTGGCCCCCGCCCCGCCCCAGCGCGGGCCGGCTGCCGTTAGCGGCCGCTAGCTCGGCGGGGCGGGGCGGGGGCGGACGGAGATCTCGCTCTCGCTCTCGCTCTCGCCCCGCGGGAAGGGGGAGTGGAGGCGCGACCGGCTGCGGGAGCTGCAATTACCGTGTGGGCTGCGGAATTCTCGTGGTGTTTGTCGAGGAGATGCGATAATGGCGTCCGTCCTCGCGAGAGAAGCCGCCGCTCTGCGCAGGCGCCGCGAGCACCTCCCCACGCTCCGAGCCCCGCCCTCTGCGCAGGCTCCCTGGACGCGGGGCGCCTTGCCCGGGGCGGGGCCTGCGCTTGGCTCCTCCTGCGCGCGCTTTCTTCTGCGAACTCCGACGAGCATGCGCAGGCTTCCGTCTCCCGCGCCGAGAATTAGCTCCCTAGGCTCTCACAGCCCTTTCGTACGCCTCCGCTTCTTGCTAGAGCGAAAACGGTCGCGTCCGGGGCCAGTTGGAGGAACATGCTTCCTCTTTGAGACTGAGTGACGGGCATTGCTCCCGCGACAACTACACATCCCACGGTGCTATGCGCAAGTTATGCGATGCATTCTGGGGCTTGTAGTCCCCGCGCCGTGCCTGCCGAGACTTGTAGTCTTTCCGGACTCCGGCAGCTGCATCCCGTCCTCTCCCCGAGGGCTGCTGGGACTTGTAGTGCCGCTGGCTCCGTGTGTGGTGCGCCGCCTGAGGGTCCTATCTGCTCCGGCCAGTCAGGAGGTTCCGGGTCTCGCGGCAGCGGTTTCCCGAGTGATTGCGCAGACGGTCGCGCGCGGACAGTGTCGCTGTGACATTGATTGTGTGTGACATGCCTGTGTATCGCAGAATACGAACGCGAGATGGTGTAAATGAGCACGTTACACTCCACGTAGCTTCCATGTGCGTGGGCTAAAATTCCCCAAGGGCCCGGCTCCCAGAAGTGCCACTCGGGTCCGTGTGCCGGTGGCTTCGCTGTCACTGCTCTTGACGCTCCCTCCTGTGCTTTCGCAATGAGCAGAACCCTCTGCTCTGCAGACACGGCTGTGGAGTTCTGTTCCCACCCACCTCCTTTTTGCAGGCAGTAAAGTCACCCGCTTGGACCTGGGGCCTCCGGAGGTGACATCAGGTCCCGCCGAGGCTGGTCCTGGGCTACTGCAGCAAAAGCGCCTTAAACACTTTCCAAGGAAGAGCCACGGACGCTGAATATAAGCTGGACTTTACCACGGGGGCGCTGCGCCGTCACCCGATGCGGTTCCATTCCACACCTCCTCCAGCCCCTGGGGTGGCCCATGCAGACACCTCTGCCCTGTCTCCCTTCGTCCTGACCCAGCCACCTGGGAGGCTGGACGAGGCCTGGCTGCCCGGGCCCTCACCCCAGCCCACTGCGCTTGCAGACCCACCAGGTTACCTCCCGGGCACAGCGCCACCTCCTGGACCTGCCTGCTAGGATCAAACCCAGGAATCAAAACTCCCTTCAAGGGCCGAGGATTTAGCTCCGTGGCGCTGCGCCTGCCTGGCAAGTGCAAGGTCCTGAGTTCAATCCCCGGTACCCAAAACAAACAAACAAAACTCCCCTCAAGGCAAGCTAGATTTAAAAAGAGGCACCAATTACTGACCCCTTCTGGCAGTTTCCAGCTACACGGGTAATGACCGCTGTTATAGGACATTAGGGAAAACTACGGTAAAATCTATAAGAGCTCAACTAGAGTTTTACAATTTCTTTGCTAACATTGTCCTTCAAAACCACCAACCTCTCTATCTTCCTACCGCTAAAACTAGAGAGGCTTATGACAAAATGTCAGACTCACAGGCTCTAGCTGCCGTCTGCATATTTTGGCCCTTCTCACCTCCAAGCAGTTAGATGGAAGCCACGCCCCTTGCCCCCTGACTGCAGAGAGAGATGCTCCTTCAGAGGGGGGATGATGTAGGCGGCCAGACAGGGCTGGGCACGGGAAGTCAATGCAGAGCGTGAGGGCCCAGCGAAGCTGTGGCTGGGGGTGCATCTGAGAAGAGTGAGGTCACAGTGGCCAGATTTGCCTGCTTCCCGAGGACGCACAGAAGCTGAGATTACGGGTGCCACCCTTTGGCCTTTCCCTATAGACCAGACCATTATCTCACGGGGGTGTGCTGTCCTCCTCCATCCACTAAGACTGAGACCAAGGTGAATGATGTCATCCATATACCCTCGTTACTATTGGGTCAGTGTCACCTAAGCAACTACACTTTAATCTTATTGGTAGATTATAGTTTCCCCATGTTGTGCCCACCCCTCGAGACTTTGCTCTATAAAACTTCCTTTGAGAAATGGGCCCACTGGCAACCCATTTGGGGACCCCTCCTGTCTCTCAGGAGCTATTCTTGTTCCACATTCCTATTCCCCACTACATTTTCCTACTCTTAAAAAAAAAAATATTTGGATAGTGTCCTGGACTCCAATCAAGTCATTGACCTAGAGTGCGTTTCTCTCTCCCTGCCAGAGCTACCTGACCTCCATCTGCACACCCGGGTGTTAGGGAACAATCATGATATGTATAGATTGGTGAGGGCCAAACTATAGGCCCGGAAATCATGAGGCAGATGTTGACTTGCTTCAGGAACAGGGAAGTCTGTGTAGAAGCCTGCAGGCTTCCTGGCTAGGTGGGATGTAATCCCATGATCCCAGGGCTCTTGAGGCAAGATAACACCTACTTAGGACAGCACAAAGAAAGCAAGTACGTAGATATGGGGAAGGATCTTAACTTGTTTCCTTTGTGATGCTAAACTTGTTCCTGATTCTCCTACCTCCTTCTTATCACCACCCCTCCCCTGTGCTGCTCACTGGCTAGTAAAAATGAGCCAAGCAGGAGAGGTCTCATGTTTGCTTGCTCTGAGGCATCGACCTCCTATTTCCTCTGTATCCACAAATTTGTCTTTGTCTTTCTTTCTTTCTTTTTTTTTTTTTTTTGTTACCGGGGATCAAACTCGAGACCTTGAGCTTTCGAGGCAGGCTGTGGAACCACTGAGCTAAATCCCTGGCCCTGTCTTTGTCTTTGTTTATCCACCCCCCCCCCAGCAGGCAACCAAGGGTCTGATTGGTGCTCAGTACTGGGGCCTGTAATTACATATTTTTGCCTTGTGTCTCCTAATCATTTTGAGGCATGGTCTCCAACATAAAGATCCTAAATTACAACAGAATCCAAAACACCTTGGTCTAAAGTCCACTGATGTTGGGAAGAGGTTACAGAAGCTAACCACAGAAATCCCGTGGGACGCTGGGGCTGAAAGCCACCCAGAGCAGGGCTTGGTGCCACACACCTGTAATCCCAGCACTCGGGGAGGCTGAAGCAGGAGGATCATAAATTCAGGCCCAGGCTGAGCAACTTAGTGAGCTCTTGTCTCAAAATGAAAAGAAATAGTAATAGAATAATAAAAAGGCTGCAGATGTACCTCAGTGGTAGAGCACTTGCTTAGCTTGCGTGAGGCCCTAGGTTCAATCCTACTACGGGAGGAGAAAAAAAGAATGAAAGGAACCCAGTGGAGAAGCAAATGGAACGATTGAACACGAGCCCCCGCAGAGATGTCTGTGTTTTCGAGATTTCTGTCCAACACAAGTCTCTCTTGTTCCTCTCTTGAAATGGACTAGAACTTCTCTGGGGACGTGTGGGTACCACTTCTGATTACACTCAAAGTAGGGACACTGAGGACAGGGCTCCACTGACTGGGGCATCTGCATGCCAAGCCGCAGTTGTACAAGAATGACTTAACAATGCGTGTGCCTCGCAGCCTGCCAGGCCATGTAAGTGCTGTGTCGCCTCGTCCCAGTGAGCTGATAACAGCTAACATAACTGCTGTGAACTAAAGAGCGCTCTGTTTTGCTGTTTCTGCTGAAGAAATAAAGACAAGGAGCTCTCGAGCTTAGGGCCCTGGCTCGGCTCTGCTCTGCTCTGCTGCTGCTCTTTTGCTGATGAATTGCTCTGCGTCCTGTTCTTTATTGGGGAATTAATTAACTCACTCCCGGTACCAAAGACTATATGAACTAGTGTTCAGACCCCTCCCCAGGTGCCTCCAGGGAGGCACGGCCTCGACAGGACAGTGTACAGATCACTTTGGGACGGTCAAGTACTTGGGGAAGCATTCAGCTGCATTTAGGAAAACACAGCATTTTAAGGGAGGAGAAAGAAATCAAAATGGAAACCCCAGTCTTTTCATCCTGCCTTTGAAGTGTTGTCTGGGTTACACGAAGTCCAGTCTACCAAACATAACCCTAAAGGTTAGAGCTAGCATTGGAAGTTTAAGCACAGAGAACGTGGAGTCCACAGATGGGCCGATCCCGTGACCCCAGCCCTCTCGGTGGGAAGTGAGGTTTTGCCCCCAGCTCCCTTGCTGTCCCTCCTGCAGGGGCCGGGGGGCGCAGAGCAACAGAGCAGCAGCTACACAAAGTGGGAGAGAGGGGGCATCTTACAGAACAGAGGAACTCAGCAGGTCCTCAGTCGGTGGCTGGCAGGGGCCTCCCGCTAGGGAGGTCAGCCCGGTCAGTCCGCTCTATTCGGTGCTCACACTGTGGAGGGCGGTTCACTTTGTTCAAAGCCCATTTAAATTTCTGTGTTCATTGCTCTAAAAGAGAAGGAAAACCACCTTCACAGAAGCATCCAGAATCATGTTTGACCAAGTTGACATGAAATAAACCATCTCAATGCCACAGGAGAATTTTCAGCTCTGGCAGCAAACTGTAGAAGCACGAACCTCGCCGATCAGCACCGCATGTACAAGGCAGGACCTGAGGAATCAGAGGACGCTGGTAAATATGAAATCTCTGGCAAAAAATGCAAGGTGCACAGCTGAGAGTGTGACCTCTCAGGAAAGTGGGAGCCCAGCACATTCAGCTGCAGTTTGGATATGTTCATCCAAGCGAGCATGACGCCACACACCTGTAATCCCAGCACTCAGGAGGCTGAGGCAGGAGGATCGCTGTGAGTTCAAGCCCGGCCTGAGCTGCAGAGTGAGACCCTGTCTCAAAATAAATAAATAAAAATAAATAAATATGTTGGTCCTTTGAGCCACGAATGTCAAACCTAAGAATTTCATTCCAAGATGTTCAGTGCAGTGTTATGAATAAGACCAAAAACAAACAACCAAAAAAACAGAAAGCTTGGAAAGAACACAAACATCCACCCATAGACAGAGTAATTTAGTGAATGATGGAACATCTTTTAGTGGAATATTCAATCATTTCTTAAAAATATATATGCACTGCTGGGGATTTATCTCAGTGGCACTGTGCCTGCCTCAAAAGTGCAAGGTCCTGAGTTCAATCCCCAGACTGGGGAAAAAAAAAATACACTAATATAAAAATAATCCATGACAGCCCGCTCCATCCCCCGTGCCCTGCCCACCAGCAACCAGCTTAGCCTCCAGGGAGCCTGCAGCCCCCCGCCCCCCACCTCTGGCCTCCTGGCTATGCCACTACCTGGTTCCACACTACAGAGGCACAGGGGGTCATAAAGGCCATTGTCCTGAGCTCCAGAAGATAGAGCAGAAGTGAACAACAGAAAGAGGGCCTCTCTCAGGCTCCTTGAAAACTGAAGCCCACTGGAAAAGTGAAGAGAATCTCTGCAATAAAGGCACACCAGACCACCGTGCTTGGCAACTTTAAAACTAGGTTCATCTTCAGAATTGCTCCAAATTGGGCTGGGCGGCCTAACCCCTATGTCTCTCTACTTTCCCTGGCCTAATGCTGGGGAAAATGTTTTCCTGTGAAAGACCTCTCTGCATTGTGCAATCCAGGAAGGAGATGACAGCTGAAACTTTCATCTACAGAACTCTCAGTGCCTGAATGAACAAATGCTTCATATAGGGGCATCTGGGCAGCACATCATAGTATCTACTACAGGATGTTTCAAGATATATAAAGAAAGTTCAGAAGTTATTGTAGAATTATCTTTTTTTTAATTCTCTCATTGGTACATTGTAGGTATACAGCACAATTACATTTCTCATTGGGAATTGTACCTTTACATGATGCATCTTGGTTCTTATTTTTTCCCCATTCCTATCCCTCCCTTCACCCCCTCCACCCGTCCCTATTTACAAAGACTTTATTTCCATTTTTTCCATTTCTCATCATTTTTCCTTACCCTTCTTTCCTTTCCCCTGCCCCTCCCACTACCCCTACCCCTTTGGACCTTTTCTTCCTATTTTGCATTATCGATTATTCATTCTAATCATTGGTACATTTTAGGTATACAATATAATGACATTCATCGTTGGAAATTTGCACCTTTACATAGTCTCTCTTGGTTCTTATTTTTCACCCTTGCCCAGCCCTCCCTTCAACCCCTCCATTCCTCCCTATTAACAAAGATTTTGCTCCTATTTTTCCATTTTCTCATATTAATCCCATTCCCCTCTTTCCTTTCCCCTACCCCTCCCATCTCCTTCCCTTTGCCCCTTTTCTTCCTATTTCACATTACCTATGATACATTTTAGTCCCCATTTACACTTTCAGTTTCTCACACCAGAGAAACTATTCGGTATTTATTCATGTGTGTCCTATTTATTTCACTTAAGAGTATCGCCTCAATGTGCATCCACTTAGCTATAAATGTCTCCAATTTCTCATTTTTTATGGCTGAGTAGTACTCCATTTTATAAAAAAGCCACATTTTCTTTATCCAGTCTCCAGTTGATGGGCATTTGGGCTGTTTCCAAGCTTTAGCTATCACAAACTGTGCTGCTATGAACATGGGTGCACATATATCACTGTGCTAAGATTCTTTTAATTCTTTGGGGAAGATCCCCAGCAGGGGAATAGGTGGGTCAAATGGGACTTCCAGTCCTAGTTCTTTGAGGTATCTCCATACTGATGTCCACAGTGGTTGCACCAGTCTACACTCCCACCAGCAGTGGAGCAGGGTTCCTCTTTCCCCACAGCCCCGCCAGCATTTGTTATTGGTTGATTTCTTGATAGCAGCCATTCTTTCTGGGGTGAGGTGGAATCTCAGTGTTGTTTTTATCTGCATCTCTCAAATGACCAGTGATGTTGAACATTTTTTCACATATTTAATTGCTGCTTTTACTTCTTTGTCTGAGAAATGTCTTTTCATTTCAGATGCCCAGTTTTGGTTTGGGTCTTTAAATTTGAAAGGTGTGATTTTTAAAGTTCTTTATAGATTCTAAATAGTAGACCTTTATCTGAGGAACGGCAGGTGAAGATTTTTTTCCCACATTGTGGGTTGTCTCTTCACTCTGTTGGTGGTTTTTCTTGCTGCGCAGAAGCTTTTTAGTAAGAAGAGATCCCACTTGTTGATTGTGGTAGTTCACGGGCAACTGAGGTTTTGGTCATAAAATATTTTCCTACACCAATGTCTTCAAGAATTTTACAATAGAACAAAACGAATGTCCCCACGTTCCAGAACCGGACACAGCGGGGAAGACAGGAAGGGTAGGCTGAAGGGGGGATGCGTCAACACCCGGCAGGGCCCTGTGGAAGGAGAGCGTCTGTGCCCAGAGAAGTGAGAGAGGCTGCAGCCGGGCTGGGGGGCGGTCAGGTGCCAGGCTCTCGGATGTGCGCGTCACCCCCTTATTCCAATTGCCTGGGGCCTTGTGGGTCCGAGAGTGCCGTCCTGCCTCTTGGAGACCGTCAGCTCCCACAGCAACAGTGCACACGTACACACGCACACACACGCACACACACACACACACGCACACACACACGCACACACTCCCATCCCTGTGGGCTCCGCGTGCGGGAAGTGGGGTCCAGCAAACAGACTGCCCTGTGGCTGGGTTTCCGCAAACACTGACCGCAGGCCGCGTGGCCAGGTGATCGGACTCTCCTGTGCACAAGGGCCAGCAGCACACGGGACAGGGACTTTGCCCGATCCGTTTCCCACCCACGTCCTCCCCTGGGCTCAGGGCGGCTCCAGATCTGTTTACCAGATTGAAGCACTGAGACCTGAGTGGCCCCAGTGAAGCTGCTGTCCCCCTGCAGCCACCCCTGAGCCAAGCCAAACGTCCTCACACAACAGGGACAGGCATGGGTTGAAATTTAACCATGGGCTCAGGGATTCAGGTGAGTTTCCCAAAGAGGGGGTACATCCACCCTGCAGCTCTGCTGACCAGGGACAGTCGCAGTGAAAGCGTCTCCCTCTTAGATGGGGTGCTGACCAGATGCTCAGGGCCATGACGCTGGCAAAGGGCCCCTGCAAGCCCTCCCGCACCCACTTCCTGCTCACGTGGACCTGGGGGGCTCCCCTGGCCCCCGCGACAGGGCGGGCACGGCAGTGTTCCCAGCAGCCCTGCACACAGAGCCACAGGAGCAACACGTGTAAGTAGAGCCGCGCGTCCCCAGGTACCTTGGATGCTCGTGTGGGTTCTAGGAAGCCTTGGGGAGGAGAGGCTGCGGCAGCTGCAGCGGCGTGCCTCCACGGCTCGCTCTGCCCTTATCTGGAGGAAGTCATTTGCCTCCATTTCCTGGGTCTCGGGGCCCGGGCTCCTGGGAGCAGGCAGAGTCAGCATGTCCACAGCTGCTGGGCTCCGTCCTAGCTCCGCACTCCCACTTTCGAGCATGTGGGCTCCACAGGAGGCCCGCTGGGTGTGGGTGCCAGCAACCTGAGCGAGGAGAGCACTTGGCCCAGTGCCCAGTGCCCAGTGCCCAGTGCCCCACCTCCCCAGCCTCAGGTTCCCCGTCACAGGATGGGTGTGACCGGATGCTGCCTCCTGGGCATGCCAGGATGAGGGGATGAAAGCCTGGCTCTGACAGGCTCTCGGACGTCACCAGTCCTCTCCAGGCCCACCAGGTACAATGACTGACTGTGAAAACCCCTGGACTCCACGCTGGCTGCTGTTGGGCAGGAACTCAGGCCTGTGAAGGGCAGGCAGATGAGGACACTGTCCCCAGCCCCGAGGGGTCCAGCCCGGCCTCGGGAGATGCTGTATGAGAAGCTGCTTGACGACAGGAGGCTGGAAGCTCAGACAGTGGGCGCCAGGGAGTCTTCCAGGATTCGCACAGAGAGGGAAGCAAAAGGCCTTGGGCCCACATTTTAGGATCTGGGGCAAAAGCCTTCTGTTGTAGTCAGGGTTTGCAGGGAATAGATTTAATACAGGACGCATAATTTATGGGATTAATTTATAACAGTCACCCAAAAAGTCAAATGCAGAGGAGCACAAGAGATCTGTGCACACACTAGAGACCCGAAGAATCCAGCCCGGGGCCTGGATCCCACAGCAGTGTCCCACACAAGTCCAGCTGAAGGCCTAGAGCCCAGGGCAGTGGCCCACAAGTCCGGCTAGAGGCCCAGAGCCCAGGGCAACATCTCAGCTGAGTCCCTATTGAGGGTCTGCCCTGGGGAGGCCCCAAGGCCAGTGGTGGACCCTAGAAAGTGCGCCAGCAGGGTGAAGGGTCTGTGGCACCAGGCTGAGGGATCTGCACTGGAGCCAGGAAGTGACGCTCATGGTGAAGACCAGAGCTCCCCCGAGGAGAACAGCAGCCACTCCAGGCCACGGTGAGGACCCGAGCTCCTCTGAAGATGAGAACAACCCAGTTCGCCTCAGGAAAACCAGCTGTCCAAGCTTCTCCAGGACGATCAACAGCACACGATCTTCCCCTCCAGGTCTCCTCTTATGCTGTTGGATGCAACCCTCAGGTGGGTCTTCCATGCCCAGAGCCAGGCTGACCCGGTTCAGCCCCGTGGGCGTTCCAAGATGACCGGTAGTTAATCCACTACACCTTCCTAATTCCTTCCACTGTCCCCTCTCTAGCCCTTGTCCTCCACAGACAAGAACACTCCTGTGGGGTCCCCAGAGCAGCAGCCTCACCCCGGGCCCTGCCTAAGACCTCCCCTAGGATCCAAATCACACAGAAGGGGACTCACCAGGTACAGTCCCCACCCTGACCCCCAGAGGCAGGGCTGTGACAGTGTGGGCGTGGTCTTCAAGAGACATGCGGCCTCCCTCTTCCTACTGTCCCATTTCCTACTGGCCAGTGGCTTCTCTCTTGCCAGAAGCACCGGCATCTTCATACCCAGCCCTCTTTTATTGTCAGAACCACCAAGAGCTCCAGGAGCTAGGACCACCTAGCTCAGGCCCTGGCACCATCCTTGTGTGGCTGTGTGCCCTTTGACAAGGATCGAGACCCTTAGACCCTTGTCCTCTGTAAAAGGAGGCGCAGTGCTGACACGGGCAGGAAACCAGCTGGTAACTGGAGAGGCAGAGGACAGCACCTGGCCTTGGTGTCAGTTGAGGCCGAGCCTGCCCAGGAGGCGCCGGAGAGGATTCACATATTAGTCCATGCAGGCCTACCTGAGTGCCTTAACTAATTCCCCAGTAAGAGTGACAATCATCAGCATCGGGGTGGTATCAGAGCATGAGAGTTGGAGCTACAGCTCCAGAGCTCAGGAGCTGCGTCTTTATTCCTTCAGCAAAACAGCTCCTCGAAGCCTACAGTGCCCTCCAGCTCACAGCAGTTATTCTCTTACCAGCTCACTGAGGCGTGGAGAGACTAAACACCTGCTCCAAGACGTGTCCATGCCACACACGCGTGGCTGAGTATGTTGGCACATTCTTGGATAGCCGTGGCCCATTACGTGCATGGCCCTGAGAGTGGCGTAGTAACCTTAAGTGCCCTCAGATGCCCTCAATGCCTGGGCTTTGATGCAAGCAGAAGTGGTACCCACTGCTGCCGGGGCCAGGGCCTGGAGTTCCCGTATCCAGTGGCACTGCCCACGTTGGTTATGTGAAGTGGCATCGCTCCCTGGCGCTGCAGACAGTGCTGCTCCATGAATGCTGCTCTACATGCTGCTGCTGGACACAGGGATGCCCCAGCCAGTGGCCCAGGACCTGCTCAGCCAAGGACCCTGTCCTCCACACCACAGGGGACACACATACCTCCGAGGGAGTCATGCTCTGAGGCCAGGTTTTGTCAGTTGGTACCTGAAGAATACAGCACTGCATCTGAGGGGAAAATATGCAACTAAAAATGAAAACCATGGAGTTTTGGCCTTGAGAGAAAAGTCACCCTGCTCAGGGTCAGCATGATTCAGGGTCGGTTCTACATCACCTCAGCATGTGCGGGAGTCTCTCGCCCCCCGAGTGGGGACTTCACATCAGGTGTGGCATGCCGTTGACCCCATGGTGACAGCCAAGAGCACAGCCAATGTCCTCGCTCCCAGGGCATGGCTGTGCATATTAACCCACGGCTCCCCTCACTCCTTAGCCCACAGTGGACGGTGCCAGCTCAAGTCTACAGGTCACCTCAGGTTGGCCACTCTGGTGGGGGCAGCTCTGTCCCATAGCAGCCAGGGAGGGAGCTCCTCATTTTTTGGGGGGTGGTACTGGGGATTGACCCCCAGGCCTTCCACTGAGCTACATCCCCACTGCTTTTTGTTTTATTTTATTTCTAGTGCCAGAAATCGAACTCAGGACCTTGCACTTGCAAGGCAGGTGCAACACCACTGAGCTAAATCTCCCACCCTTTATTTTTTATTTTGAGACAATTTGTCACTCAGTTGCCCAGGCTGGGCTAGAACTTGTGATTCTCCTGCCTTGGTCCCCAGCATGCTGGGATTCTAAGAGTACACCACCACACCTGGGTGTGTGCCACCACTCCCAGCTCTGGCTCCGAGGTCTTAGTCACCCATCACAAGGAAGACACTGCCCTGCTGCCCTGAGTGGATGTGGCATTGTCCTGTGTATGCCCAGCATCCTGCTGGGCATCGAGGCTGGGGCAGGAGCTGATGTGTAGCTGTGTGTGTTGCCTGAGGAGCTGAAAGGGTAGCACACAGGCTTCTGCTGCCACCTTCTCTTCCTGTCCCCTGGGAAGCTACATGCCCACTGCAGCCTCACTCATTTGCAGGACTGGCCTTGCAACATGTCTACCTCAGGAGGGAAACCAGAGACAGGATTCCAATAGTGGAGCTTCAGGCCTCAGGCAGACTGGAGAGGGGGCCTAGGGTGATGCCCACCATCTGCAAAGAACAGAAAAATTGAGGCCTGGGAGACATGAGAGCAGCAGACTGTTGCCCAGGCTGTGCACTCGGAAAAGCTGGTACTGCTGAGACCCTGCTGTGACCTTGCAAGAGGCCTTGAACCATGAGCCTGACTCCTGGCCCACTGTGTCCTCCTCCATGGGAGGGCAGGGGTGATTAGCACACACCAAGGATTATTCATTCAACATATGCGTGTGTGTCTGTCCTGTCCGAGTGTGGGCAGTGGAGAGGGCAGGACCAAGAGACAATGCTGACCTGACCGACGGCCATGGCACTGGGCACAGCCATGGAGACAGAACTGGGACGGAAGGTGCAGCCAGCACAGGGGCCACCGACCCCCTGCTGATGGTGTATCTCAGTGCGAAAGCCTGGCTTCAACCCCGGCACACACATGCACACGCATGCACGCGCACACACACGCACGTTATACATGGGTTACTTAAACAACGTCTCCTAAAAGCAACTTCTTGGTTCCTTGTTTCCTAGAAGTTTGCAGAACACACTTTGACCCAGCCCCTCTGTGGCCGGGTGTTTATGAGGAGGAAATCATCCAACCCAGGGTGTGATGGGAACTTCACAACTCTGTACACTCCCAAGAAGTTGAATAAAATCCCAGTCTCACTAAAGAATTGATTTTTGAAAGTGCAGCATAAGTGGTGCAATGGAGATGCAGCACCGAGGGAAGAAGGAAGTGGGGAGGGGAGAGAGGAAGTGAGAGAAGAAAGAGGAAGGGAAGAAAGAGAGAGAAGGGGAAGGAAGGAAGAGGGAGGGAGGGAGGGTGTTTTCGCCCTGCAGGGTGCACTCTCAACATGAAAGGAAAATGGCGTCAGGCTCCCGAGATGACAGCAGCACGTGATCCTCGTTTAAAAATTCCAGTCTGTCTTTGCATGAGGGTATTTGCGCAAAAGCAACCTGGACCCCCACGCACCCCAGGAGTTAGCACCAGGGGTCTGGAGGCCTGGGGGCCACCCTACCTCAGTTTCCCCTGCACTGGGACCTGCAGGACCTCGTGTGGCCCTGTGTCTGCTGTCCCCACCCCAGGCCTCAGCTGGGCTCTCCTCTCTGTCCCCAGGGCACCCCCGCTGGACAGGCCAGGTCTCCCTGCCAGGGGGCACCCGGCAGTCTCCCATCAACATCCGGCGGAGGGACAGCGTCTACGACCCCCAGCTGCCGCCGCTCAGGGCCTCCTACAGTGCTGCGTCCTGTCAGCACGTGTGGAACACGGGCTACCTCTGCCAGGTGGAGTTCGACGAGGCCAGCGAGGGCTCAGGTGAGCTCGTGGTGGGGCCCCTCCTCTCTGCGTGGGTCCCCAACATGGTGGTGAGGCGAGACACGCAGGGCAGTGTGGGGCAGGGAGCAGGAGGGCCCGGAGCCGGTGGGAAGCTCGCGGGGAGGGGACACCCTCACCCAGGGTCACGCAGGTCTGGGGGCCAAAGCCCTGTCCTTCCCATCTTACCCCAGTGGGCCAGCAAAGTGGACAGTGACGCCAGGGGCACAGGCCTGCGCCCAACTGCCTCCTGCTAGGCTGCTGGAGTCGGAGACTCTGGTCTCGGCTTTGCTCTCCCCGGATCGAATTCGCTGTCAGTCCAGACCTCTTTCCTCTGCCTGTGCCAGACCCAGCCCACCCTGGTTTAAGCAGAGCAGAGCAGGGCTGGGGCAGCAGTCCCACTCCACCTGCCTGGGGAATTGGGAGGCTGGGATTCAGGCTCCTGTCGTGGCAGGGATGGTGCCAAAGGTGCGGCTCAGCCCCCTGTCAGAGGGACAGGACAGTGCCCTGCCTGGGGCTCCGTGTCCCTGTCGGTTACCTGGGTCGAGCCTCTTGGAGCAAGACATGGATGAGAGTGGGAAATGACTTCTGAAGGCCAACAGGGCGCTGCTCCCGGAGGCCACCCAGCTGTCAGCCAGACCAGGGCTCTCCGCTGTGGGAAACTGGGGGCAGGTGGGGCGCGTGAGAAACCAAGGACTAAAAATGTTTTTAGCAGTAAAACGAGAATGAGATTCTTGCGTGCATTTAAAATAGAAAACCGGGGCCGGGAATTTAGCTCAGTGGTTCCGCCGCCCGCCTCGCAAGCACAAGGACCCGAGTTCGATCTCTGGTACCAAAAAAAAAAAAAAAAAACTAGAAAAGAGGCCTGGACAGAAGGGAAGGAGAGCCCCCCGCCCCCAGTGCAGGATGGAAGTGAGCTGGAAAGAGGGTTAACTCTGGGTCAAAGGCTCACCCGGGTCTCGAGGTACCGCCAGGTGAGTGCCAGGAACCAAAGCCAGATGTGAGCCGGAGGCTGAGGGCAGCTCCAGGGTGAGGCCAGCTCCCCCAGAAGGGGAGGGGCTCGGGCGCAGCAGCAGGGGCTCCTCTGGGAATGAGTGCAGGAGGCCCAGAGCAGAGGGGGCGACCGCTCGTGGCCCTGGTGCCAAGCCCCCAGGGAGGGGCTCCATCCTCAAAGGCAGAGGACAAGAGGGCTCACCGTGGAGGGAGATGCGCCCGGAACACACAGCAGCCACTCGGGAACATTTGCTCCTGGACACCAAGAGGCCTGCAGGTGTCCACGTTAGGGTGCAAACCGCACTCCTACAGCCAGGGCTCTTTGGCCGCGAGTCAGAGAGACAGGCTCCAGCGAGGCGAGACAACAGAGGCACCCAGAAAATGTAGGCTCCCTACACAGGTCATCTGGACAGGGCCCCGCATCGTCCCACCAGGCCCCGGGAGCCCTGCAAGGCCCCACTGGGTCAGGGGCCAGCGGGCCCTGTCCCCCATGAGAGCAGGAGGCTGCAGGCCCTGTCCTGTGAGGTAGGGACAGCTGGCTCCAAGGTGACACACAGGCCATGTGGGGAGTTCGGGGAAGGGGAACGGCCACACAGGCCGAAGACACCCCTTGGCTGCGGTGGAAGAACACAACCACAGCATGTATCCTGGGCAGCAGTTCTCCTTGCAGTTCAAAGCCTGGCAGGCCAGGTGCTCCTATCGCGCACTGGCACGCCTCACTCGGTGATGGGGCGCCTTGGGAGATGTGTTGCCGGGCTTCCTGGTTTCTAAGGCCCCCAAAGCCCTGTGTGCTCACAGCTGGGCCTTAGGAGGAGGACTGGGCTATGGGCTCTGCAGCTAAATGTGATGTAGGAGGCGGGGCCAGGGTGGGAGGGGAGGGGCCAGGGTGGGAGGGGCGGGGCCTGGAGGTCGAGTCTGCCTTCCCAGCCCCTCCTTCCTCCCCTTCGTGTCCTCCAAGCGTGAGCGGCCCTCCCGCCACGCAGGTCCCAGGGAGGAGGACAGGGACTAAGGCGTCAGGTGGCTCCATCGGGCATACCCTCACGGTGTGCAGTCACACCCTAAAATGGCCTCCCTCAGGCCACCACTGTACCGTGGCCCAAGTTGGCCAAAACGTTCTGTGCAGCCTAAGACTGCTGGAATATAAGCTCTGCGAGAGCAGGCACTTTATCCTCCGTCCTACAAAATACTGGGCAGCACAGAGTAAGTGTGGGAGGATCAGAGCCTTTCTTTGATCTAATCCTAACCACAGCAGCCGCTGCTGCTATTGTGTCCCAACCCTGGTCCCTCAAGCCATGTCGCACCAATCAGCATCCACTCCTAAGCCCTGCCCCTGATTGACACAGGGCTGGGCCAATCAGCCACTGCTCTGCGAATTTGGAATGAGTTGAGCGGGAGCCATCCTGTTCCTATGACATTGCAACCACCTGGCACAGAGCTTAGAGTCAAGGCCTCCTGCAAGCCAGGCCACTGCTCCACCACTGACCCGTCGACGGCCATAATTATGAAAAGACTTTGTGCTGCCCTCGGTAAAGAGTGTTGTTTATCTCTTCTCTGCTGGGCCCCTTGCTTAACGCTTGGAGAACGTGGCAGCTCTGTACAATTAATGGTGCTTAGGTCCCAGTAGATTTAACCCCCCCAGACCCATGATTGGGCCTCTAGAGTTACATATGAAGGGGGGAGTGTGAGACCTAAAACCTCAAGCTGTACTTTGCCCACCTGCTTGTGATAAGTGTTCAGCCGTCCCCTGGCAACCGCTACCCCAATGTCCCAGGTGTAACTGTTTGCAGCTTGGGTATGCAAGGCACAACCAATCAGGTTTAATTGCCAATCTAGAACCTTGCTGTAACTACTATAAAAACCCCTGCTGATTTGGAGTCAGGGCTCTCAATCTTGACCCGCTGCAGTGGTGACGGTTGGGAGTCCCTGCTCGAGCTTGAATAAACGACCCTCGTGTGTTTACATCGGAATCGGCTCCTTGGTGGTCTTTGGGGACCTCGAAATCTGGGCACAACATCGGGGCACAACTCCCAGCCCTTTTGACTTTATTTTGAGACAGGTCTTACTGAGTTGGCCCCTCTGGTCTTGAACTTGTGATCCTCCTGCCTCAGCCTCCCGAGTGCTGGGATCACAGGCATGCAGTTCTATGTCCAGCCACCTTTTAGATGCTACGGCATCCACCCCTGAGGCTCCTACGTGGTCACCACCTTTGCTGACCTCTGTGCACCCAGCCCAATCCCCACTCCCCTGCACAGGCCACATCCGGCCACCAGGGACGTCCGTGTGTTCCCCTGGGGACTGCTCCCTTGCCACCTGCTGACCCTCTCGGCCTGCACCATCTGCATCTACGCCTAACACACACTCAGTCCTCCAGGCTGATGTCCTTCTGTTGGAGGCTGCCCGATGTCCTAGGCCCCTCAGGTCCCCAGAGCCCCTGTTTGCCCTCATACTTTTTTGAGGGGATTGAGACAGGGTCTCGCTGTGTAGTCCTGGCTGGCCTCGGACTCACTGTGTAGCCCGGGATGGCCTCGAAGGTGTTGGAATCCTCTTGCCTCAGCCTCCTGAGTGCTGGGCTTACTGGCGTGTGTCCCCAGGAGATCTGATTTGAGGAGGACCCGCATGTCCATCCCTCCCCTGACTTCCTCGGTGCCCTGTGCTCACGGGACACACCATGGGACCTCAGCAAGGACTGGGGCTGCAAATGCTTGGCTTTTCTCCTCTTAGCTTTGCGAGCTGGCAAAGTGCCCTTCCGGATAAGGTCATCGGGAATAAGATCCTAGACTCAATCTGTTGGGGCCAAAAAGAATGCACTCAGACACAGAATAAGAAGTCTTCTTTTTTTTTGGTACTGGGGATCGAACTCAGATCCTTCTGCTTGTGAGGTAGGTGGTGGAACCACTGAGCTAAATCCCCAGCCCCAGAATAAGAAGTCTTGACAAGGCAGGTTTAGTGTTTCTTCTGCAGAAGAAAATGCGCGTGAGGTACAGGTGCACGTGTGGAACACAGGAGACAGCGCTTTCATCCAAACGGGGGGGTGGCCGACCTCGCCCACTGGCTGGGCAGAAGCTCACAACCTGTCCTGATCGCTCTCAGGCGGCACGGGGAGAGTCAGGAAAGGTACTGAGGGGAGGAGTGCAGGCTGAGGGGGAACACGGAGAGCAGAAAGTCCTTGGGTCTCGATAAGCAGCCTGGGTGGGTTGGTTGGTTGATTTCGTTTTCTTTTTTTTTTTTTTTTTGCCATGACCAAGGGAGATTTATTCCAGAAGTACAAGACTGGTTTAAGGTTCAGAAGTGAATTAATGTCATGTACCATATTAATATATCTAAGAAAAAAGATCATGAAGAAAACCTTTGGAAAAAATCAATACCTATTTATAGAAAAATTAAAGAAGATAGAGATTATAGAAAATCTCAGCATGACTTGTGTGTGCTACCCTGGGTGTACAGCTGTGGTCCACAGTTCGAGCTGGGCAGGCGAGTTTGTGCCTGGTGCGTTCGGGGGGTCGCTCAGGACGAGCAGAGCGGAGGTGGAGACAATCCGGTTTGACAGAGAGGACGGAGTGTACTGGTTTCCCAGGCAGCTTTGTCCACCCAGGTCCCTGATCAGAGTCCCGGCTGGAGTCCTAACCAGGCATCAGTAGCGGCTGTGTCAGGGGACAACGACAACTCTGATGACGAGAGCACAGAGCCTGTGATGGTGACACTGCCACCACAGGGCTCTCACTGTCTGCTCTCTCCCCTGCTCGGGGACGTGGCTGTCACACCTTTCACAGCGTCGGGGCTAAGGTTCACACAGGTCACGAGCTCAGAGCACCCGGCTCAGGCACCAGCGAGGACGTGCCTCCCTCTGAGCCTCTCCCAGGGGCACGGCGCTCCCGCTTTGATGCTCTGGGCTGGGGGCTCGGTGACCCCAGCACCGCGGTGTGCTGGGTGCCAGCCTGGGTGCAGCTCTGGCTGGGAGAGATTGCAGAGAGCTGCCCGGGGCCAGAGCACACGGCCCTGTGGCCTTGGGCTTCACAGCGCCGCACCGGTTCCAGCTCAACCCCAGAGTGGGAGAACAGGCGCTCCTTTGCACGGCTTCCACAGCGCTGAGGAACAAGAGTGCCACCTGCCTCTCGGGCCTGCCGGGAGCCGCTGACCCCGTCAGAGGCCCTGAGCCGCCAGCCCGTAGCTGTAGTGGCGACTGCATGGCTTGGCCTTGGGTGGCCGCTGTTCTCCTTGGGACGGCCTGCCTCTCCCAGGTGGCCCAGCTACATTTCCAGGAGCGCTGCTGTCCCGTCAGTGCCCTGCGGGGGGAGCTGGTGACAAGGGCCCTGCTAGTGGCCCACTCTGGGGGCTGGCTGGGCTGCCAGCCTAAAGGCCTTCCTTTTTTTCAGTACTAGGGATTGAATCCAGAGCCTTCGCACGGACCTACACCCTCAGCCCAACATTTTATTTTTTTTCTACGTTTTGAGATGGGGTCTTGCTAAGGTGCCCAGGCTGGGCTCAAACTTGTGACCTGCCTGCCCCAGCCTCCTGAGTGCTGGGTCACAGGTGTGCACTGCTGAGCCCAGCTCTAAATGCCTCCCTCTCAGGGCTCAGTTTTGCCTCCTTTTCAATTAGAGTAGTTACCCCGGTACTGTAGTATCACTATGAAAAGTCAATTAGAAATTATTTTATCTGAGTTTTTAGCTAGAAAAGTGGCAGGATTTGGCTTGAACCTTGCTAAGGAGGCTGAGGGTCTGGGGCTTCCAGTAGCCTAGGACAGGTGAGCTCATGCCCCGAGTTTCCATCCAAACCGCAGAGTGGGCTCCTGGCACTGCCTGCAGGTTCAGCACAGAGAGGAAGAGCCCGTCCCTCCGGGAACGGGAAGTTCCCGCACTCAGCCCGGTGTCCTGCAGCAGCCGCTCAGTAATGCTGCCCATCACTTGGTCACTCACAGCCCGACTAAGTGTTCTCCACATGTGCAATGGGCAGGAGGTGAGTGCCCCAGACCCACAGGGCCTGGCCCACCCAGTCTGTGTCCCCGGGCAGCTGCCTCACCCGACGTGCAGGGTGCTGTGCTACCTTCATTATTGATGTAATCTTTACAGCACCCCATCCAATGATGTCTTTGTCACTTTCCTGTCACTGGGACGAAACACTCAGTCCCCACAACGTAAAGGAGAGGTCGGTTTGCCTCACGGTGTCAGCAGGTTCAGTCCATGGTCAGCTGGCTCCAAGGCAAGAGCAGCATGGTGGAGGGGCCTGCTGAAGGACAGCTGCTCAGGTCATGGTGGCCAGAAAGCAGAGCAAGAGTACGGGGGCAAAAATGCAGCCTTCCGGGTCATGCCAGGGACACCTCCAACCGGGCACCCTCCTAACAGCACATCAGCCACGGATGCACCCATGGGTCAGTCCATTGAGGAGCAGAGTGCCCCCAGCCAGTCACCTCCACACACAGGAGAATTCGGGGGCAGTTTAGATTTAAACTCTAACAACTGGGTATTAGGGTCATCCCACTTGACAGAGGGGAAACTGAGGCTGGGAGAGGTGAGACACCTGGGCCAGGGTCACGCAGTGCTGCAGAGGGACTCGGCATCTGTGCCACGTCAGACTCCTCCCGACTGCACGCAGTGCTTCCTGCGGCAGAGCCACAAACACAGCGCTCCAGCCTTTAAACAAATAAACACTGGCCCTTTGCCAAGGGTTGCATTGTGAGGTCTAATTTAGGAAACATTGTAAGAATCTTTGTTCCGTCTTCAAAGGGATCCGGACACCCCCTCGCCCCCAGTTGGGCAGGGGCCAGACCCATGCCAAAAGCGCTGTGCCGTGATGGGCCCCATGCAGGTCAGAGGAGGGCCCAGCCCTGTGAGCCACACCCAAGGATTCCCGGGCGTGTCCACTGCTTCGCCACTGGGGCCCGCTGCAGCCCAGCCGGTTGGCCACCGCCCGTCTTTCCTTGACCCCCAGCAGAGTCACAGGGGCGCCCCTGACTCACCCGTGCCACCGTAGCCCTGCTGGTTTTCCGAGAGCTGTTTTCAGGGCGGCTGCTGTCCCAGACCGCTCCTGTGCTCGGATGCAAAGAACCAGACATCGCTGCCTGGCGTGCAAGGAAGGGAACGCTCTTTCCTCTGAAGGACCCGCTCTGTCCACATCCTCTTACCCAGGTGCTCTGTGCCCACCGAGGCAGGGCCCAGGCTCCAGGTCAGGGGCTGTGTCCACACAGGAGGCAGGGGCAGCTGGACGTCGGGGCTGTGGCCGGGCGCAGGCCCCAGTCCTGCTTGGGGGGCCAGGGATGTCGCCCAGGCCCCAACTCCCCACAGGACTTTACCTGCAGGGGGAGGAGGCAGCTGCACTCAGGACTCTCTGGTGGGCAGTGGTCGGGGTGACCCCCTCGGCCCAGGATCCAGGCCACTGGGGGCAGGGGGCGGAGACGTCCCCAGACTCAGGACAAGTGACAGAGGCCTGCAGGTGTCCCCGTGGGCACCGGGGTGTGAGCATCTGGGGGCTGAGGCAGCTTCCCTGAGCCTCCGCTCTGTGCCGATCTGGGCATTTTGGTGCCACAGGGACGTGGGAGCAGGCGGCCACCGGCAGGAAATCATCCCTGCCTGCGCCTTGTGCTACTGGGATTTCCCTAGGTCAGGTTTCAGGCTCCGGAGGATAAAGCAGGAGACAGTGGGACCTGGATTCGAATCCCCCGTGCTTGGGACGGTGGGCACCTCTCCACGCCCCTACAGCCTCAGGAGCCACTGGGTCACGTGGCATTACCCCTCCAAGGGCAAAGCTGCATCCGATTTGCACCCTGGGGAGCCGCACTGGGTGCTGGGGCCCATGCCTGGCCGCCTCCCCCTGCCTTGTCTGCCTGGCTGCAGAACGGCTGGCAGCGGCAGATCATGCTTCAGCACTGTGTGCGTCTTGGGTACTTCATCTGGCAAGGAGCATTTCTGCGGATTTTTAAAATTCACGTAGATCCGTGGGCGCAGTTTCAGAGGGCGGGGTTACCTCAGACAATCACAGGACTCTAAAACCCACTGAGACCGATGTTCTGACCAACAGCCGTGTCAGCCAAGAGAGACGCAAGGTCGTGCCTGACACAGACTGGACTCTGTCCCCAGCTGCCTGCCACAGGGCTTCGGTGGGGACAAGCAGGCCCCACGGCAGGTGGCCTTTAATGCTCAGTGCGCCCTTCACAGTGATGTGAGCGAGGCTGAGCATGCAGCACCTGCCTGCCCACCGCCCCAGAGCCCAGGCCCCACATGGACCTGCCCCTGCCACCATTTGTTCTTGGACAGCGTTAGCGATGAGGGGCAGCTAGAGACACCAGGTGCAAATTCCCGAGCTCCCCTGGAGGAGTTGAGGGTGAGTCCCTGCGTCCACAGTGCAGCCCGGGTCCTCCACTAGTGGGTCCGTGGTGTGTCCCTGCCTGCAAGCAGCGGACTGACTGAGCTCTTGGGGGGCCACCCGGCACCAGGCCCGTCTGGAAAGCCATCTCGAGCCTGCTTGTAGAGCGCTGCTGCCTCCTTGGTCCGTGTCCGGGGACTTAGAAAGGCATCTCCGTAAAAGACCTGGTCCAGCGGTGGGCCTGCACTAAGCAGGGGCCGCAGAGCTTGGGGCTGGGGGAAGGTCATGTGCTGTGGCTCAGAACTCACCCAAAACCTTTATTGTATCACATGACTAGGGCCAGGGATGTAGCTCAGCGGTTCCACTGCCTGTCCCAAAAGTGCAATAGGGCCGGGGATTTAGCTCAGTGGTTCTGCTGCCTGCTGCACGAGGACCTGAGTTTGATCCCCGGTACGAAAACACACACACACACCCGTATCACATGACTAAATTATAGGTGACAGGATTTGAGCTCTTCCTCTTTAAATTAAAGCTCAGGGAAGGCCAACTGGACAGGCGCATCTCAGATAAGGCCTGGGTGGAGTCGCGCCCCACACCCCGCAGGCGGCTGAGGCCCTTACTGCTGCCTAGTGGCAGTGTGTGGATCTGCGGCCGTTCACACCCTTACGGGAAATCCCCCCAGGCCTGGCGATGGGGACACGAAGCTCGCGCCTCCCACGGGGCCCCGCAGCGGAACACAAATGAAGACAGCGGGGGGATTGACGTCTCGCTCACGTTTGCAGGGATCAGCGGGGGCCCCCTGGAGAACCACTACCGACTGAAGCAGTTCCACTTCCACTGGGGGGCTGGGGACGCACGGGGCTCCGAGCACGCCGTGGACGACCTCACCTTCCCCGCCGAGGTGTGTGAGCGGTGAGCGTCTGAGCGGGCTCTCGGTGTGCCGGGCTGGCCGCGGGGTGACAGGAATTCGGTGCCCACAGGGAACGGCTTCCGGGGCCCGGGAACTGAGGGGCTCCCAGCAGAGCAGCTAGCGCTGCCACCACCGCGTCCCTGTCCCAGAGCAGGGCTGGGGTCCCGCAGGGCTCAGGAGCAGAGCCACCAGGATCCACAGCCTGTCTCGGAGGGGTGGGATCCAGGGCCTCGATCAGGGTCTGAAAGTCGTCCATATAGAGGTCTGTGTGTGTGTGTGTGTGTGTGTGTAGCTGAAGGCCAAAAGAAAGGCCCCACGGATGTTACTGAACTACAACTCCAGCTTTTTAAATTTTTTTTTCATTTATTTATTTCGAGACAGAGTCTCAGTTTGTGAGACCAGGCTAGCTTTGCATTTACAATCCTCCTGCCTCAGCCTCCTAAGCCTGGGATCACAGGTGTGCAATACTACCACAAATCCCTTTTTGTTTTTATTTGAGGTAGTGTCCTGTAAGTTGCCAGGCTGGCCTCAAACTCTTGACTGCTGCCTCAGCCTCCCGGAAGTACATGGCAGGGACTTCACCTTGCTGGGTGTGAGCGCTGTGTGGCACACAGAGACCCAGGGTCCCCGGTGGAGCCCTACACAGGCCACAGGGATCCAGAGTTGGTCCCTGCCCAGGGAGCCTCCAGCACACCCCGCGCCCAGGGAGGCATGAGCCCTTGCTGGACATCTATGGGCTGGGTCGGGACGCTCCCATCCCATGTGAGAGAGCTGTCGCTCAGGCCCTGCAATGCCTCCGTGGACTTTCGGTCACCGCTAGGTCTCCTGGAATCCCCGGCACCATGCTGCACCACCCAGACAGCAGGGACGGGGAGAAGTGGGCCCTGGCCAGCGCACGCATGGCTTCTTTCACCAGGGCTTTCTGTCCAAGGTTGGGGAATATGCAGACACAGAGCCTGCAGGCAGGGAGGCAGCTGCACAGACGCCCAGCCCTGGAGCGGGGGCCTTGATCCTATTACCCGTGCTGGGCCTGTGGCCACCACCAGGGACTCAGCCCATCCCCTGCCACGCTGCACCCAAACCTGTCACCCGACAGGAGGCCACAGGTCCTGCCTCGGGAAAATGGGAGGAGAACTGTAAAACAAAGACCTGGAGGAAGTCAAGGCCAGGCAGCTGACCCAACTGCCAAGCCTCCCTCAGCTGGGTCTCTGTTTCACCCCACAACCCTCATGCAGGGGTAGCGGAGAGGGCAAGCCATCAAACTGCCTGCTTCTGTTTTGTTTTGTTTCTTTTTCCAATACTGGAGATGAACCCAAGGCCCTTGCACTGAACTACCTCCCCAGCCCGCTTTTAGTTTTCATTTTGAGATAGCGGCTCCCTAAGTAGCAATCCTCCTGCCTCAGCCTCCCAGAGTGCTGGGATTGCAGGCATGCGCCACCATGCCCGGCTCCTATTCGGTTTTGAAGCGTTAAAATAGCACTCTTCCGGGCCGGGGATTTAGCTCAGTGATTCCGCCGCCTGCCTCGCAAGCGCAAGGACCCGAGTTCGATCCCCGGTACCAAAAAAAAAATAGTGCTCTCCCAGAAGAACCCAGCTCCCACCATCTGGTCCAGCGGTGCTGGGCTCCCTTCCCCCAGGCTGTATGAACTCTGCACTGGATAGCCATTTCTTTCTGCATGGAGCCACATCTGAATTCTCTCTCTGCTGTGTTTCAGCTGCACTTAGTTCACTGGAATCCCTCGAGGTACCCGAGTTACCGGGAAGCAGTCCTGGGGGAGAAGGGCCTGGCTGTGATCGCCGTCTTTCTGCAGGTAATGGCTCTGGGGAGGGTGCTGTGGGAGGCCAGCTGCTACCCCGACACTGACAGCCATGTGTCTGTGCCACAGCTGGGCGCCCCGCTCCAGGCCCTGCAGCAGCTGGCGGATGTCTTACCGGAGATAAAACACAAGGTGAGGTGTGGTGGAGACCAGCCCAGTGGGCCCGTTCCGGGGTGGGGGTGTACAGGGCACAGGAGCCCTGCAGAGCGAGTGCAGTCCAGATCTGGAGAGAGAACCAGGGCCCAGCTCCCAGGGGTCCAGGCAGGCTTGGGACACAGCCTTCGCCTGCAGAAACTGGCTCTCCGGCTTCAGCATGGCTTGCTGTCCTCAGGCCTGCTTCCTCCTGAGTAAGAGACAGGTGTGGAATCCACTGGATTCCCCGAAGTCGGCCACTCGGGCAGCATCTGGAAGGGCTGGGGCACATCTGCCTGCCCCAGGTTTGCTCTTCACCGGCACTCTGGAAGCCCGAGGCAGGAGAATTGCAAGTTCAAGCCCAGCCTGGGCAACCTGGTGACTCAGTGAGACTTTGTCTCAAAATAAAAATACTAAAAAGAGCTGGGCATGGAACCAAGGAGGGAGGCTCTGGCTCAATGCCCAGTACTGGAAAAACAATCTTTAGCCTGGTCTCAGGCAATGGGGGCCAGTACTGATAACGTGGGCCAAAGAGATTGAGGCGAATTGGGCTCAGCTATTAAGGTCGCAGAACATCGGCTCGTCTGGCACGCAGCACACGCTTGGGGAAGGAATCGCGCCAAGGCCGCCTGCCCGAGGGGGACTGCGAGGCCCGGGAAGTTGGGCCAAGCACTCAGCTTACCTGGCACAAAGCGGTCGGGCTTTTGGAAGGTCAGCGAGGATGACAATGCTTGTCTCCAAGGTCAGCCGGGAAGGGACTTTGATGGAGAAGTGGAAATCCAAGAGAATGGGGTTTATTTATGTAGTACCAAACAAAAGCGCTCCTGGGGGAGGCCAGGGTGGCGGGCAGACGGGGCCAGCTGAGGCTCCACCTGTCTGACAATGGCCAGGGCACGGCAGCTCCCTTGATCTCCACACGGCTGTGCCTGAGACAGGTCACCCCGCTGCTCCCCCTGGGACGCCCCAAGGCCACAGCGCGCTGCCCGGCGCCTCGCTCTTCCTTGCTGGTCCATGGCCAGAACAAAGGGGCCGTGGATGTTTCCCCGCCAGCTGCGCCCCAGCGGTCCCCACCTCTTGGTGGGAAAGAGAAGCACTGGCTTGGAGGTGTGCTTGCTGCGGGGCCAGCTTCCTACCCAGGTGGGGACGCAGGGCGGGGCACTCGGCTCCGGTCCTGAGGCTGCTCTGGGTCCATGGAGAATGGGAAACGAAAACCCTTTCTACAAGGCTGGCCTTGCATGGCTCCCCAGGGAGGGAACGGAGGCCCTTGGAGCCCCCTCCTGGCCAGGACTCCTAGGGCACAGGGGACCCCATAGACTCCCCGGTTCAAAGCTCTGACCCCCTAGTCCAGCCCGATGTGCCTTTAAGGAACAGCCTTGACCTCTCAGAGGCTCAGTTTCCCCATCCATGAAGTACTGACCCCATGGCAGACATTAGGCCATCAGTGTCAGGGTAAATGGGGCGCGGTGGTGCCCGGTCCTTAAGGCCGCCCAGCTGGCTCAGGGCCCCAGTCAGGGTTGCCAGACCCTCCTCTCCCCCGGGGGCACAGGGTAGTGCTCGGGTACCGGCCTCTGCTAGGGCACTGCCCGGCCCAGCCTGCTCCTTGCCATGTCCCCCACGGGTACGCAGGGTAGAGCCTGGCAGGGCGGCCCCTGAGCACCGGGACCCACCCTCTGCACCCGGGCTCGCTGCAGGGCTTGGGCCCCACAGGACAGCTATGCCCGGTCAGCTGAGCAGCGTCCAGGTAACAAGCAGGGCAGCCACCTGCTTGGGCGATGGAATTTTTCAGGGGTCCTTGTTGGGGTAGAAGCAGAGGCTCCCCTCTGTAGCAGGCCGCCCCCCCACCCTTTTCTTGTGTGTCATTTCCCAGCTGCGGCCCCATGGCCTCTCTGCTGTTCCCGGGCCCCTTCCCCCACTGCCTGGTGTCTCTCACGATGTCACCACAGGGAGGGCTCCGGGACGGCCCTCAGCCGCGCTGCCTCTCTGCGCCAGCTTATCCCCTTCACCCTCGATCCACCAACAGCCAGAGGTTTCTCATGTTTGCTCTGGAGAGCCACAGCGGGCAGGCGGCTCTGTCCTTTGTCTCTCTGCATCCCTCAGGCCTTGGGCAGTCAGCCGCTCTCACGTCAAGCTGCCTGATGTTGCTGGGCAGTGGTGCTGGGGACAGCGCAGTGGCTCCGTGCCCATGTTCAGAGAGTCACCTTGCGGCCCCGCGGTCCTGCGACAGGCACTCACACAGCAGAGCCGGGCCCCGAGCTCGTGTTTGTACCGCTGTGGGTAGCAGCAGATGGTGGCATAGCCCAGGTGTTGGTGGATGGGTAAAGACACCGAAACATGGCCGTCCCCATGCGGAAGGCCTCAGCCCTAAAAGGCAGGAAGTCCTGACACATGTCCCGCATGGGCAACCTTGGGGACAGGCACTGAGAGAAATGGGCCAAACACAGAAACCCGATACCACAGGGGTCCTGTGAGGGGCTGAGGGGGTGAAATGCAGCGTCGGAGGGTGGGGGTGAGCGGGACACACTCACAGTTCAGAGGAGGGAACGGCTGTGCTGTCTCCTTAACGTCACTTGCAAATGCCTAAAAGGGCGGGGCGGGTGGTGCAGGCCTGTAGTCCCAGCACCCGGAGGCTGAGGCAGGAGAATCGCCCTGAGTTCCAGGCCAGCCTGCACTGCACACTGAGATCCTGTCTCAAAGAAAAAAAGTAACACCTAAGATGGTCAATGTTATGTCAGGTATATTTTACCACAATAAAAAATGTAATTTTTCCACAGCCAAGGTGTACAAAAATGAATAGCTTTAAAAGGGAAAAATAAGGCGTGTGGTGGGACGCTGCTCTGAATGGAGGATCATGTGTCCATGTCCTGCTTTGAGCAGAATCCGTCCCTTCCCAGTGCGGATCTGGGCCTGGGCTCCCCCGGCCCTCATGGCCCCCGCGCTGACCGCTTGGCCCTGCTCTCAGGATGCGCAGGTGGCCCTGGGCCCCTTCGACCCCTCCTGTCTGCTGCCTGCCTGCCGGGACTACTGGACCTACGCAGGCTCCCTCACCACCCCACCCCTGTCTGAGTCGGTCACCTGGATCGTCCACAAGCAGCCCATCGAGGTGGCTCCCAGCCAGGTGAGTGGCTGCCCGGGGGCCACCGGCCTGATGGGAGGGGGCTCACGAGAGCAACGAGTGGGGCAGGGGACAGCACTGCCCTTTGTACCATGCGGGCATGCCGGGCGGGGGCCGGCAGGAACGTGGGTGCAGCATGGCGCGCTCCCATCTTCAGGGGCCATGCGAGCCCAGGTGACTCCTGAGGACACAGGGTCCGACCAGTCAGCACTGACCATCCGGGCCTGTCAGGGTGGAATTGTGGGAAAGAGCAGAGGTGACAGGAAACGGGACAGAGTCCTGGCCACAGCGGGAAGGCATTAGCAGGAAGCGATGTCACAGAGGCACAGCCAGGACACCATTGGGTGTGGTTCGGTGGCAGAGCAGTTGTCTGACACGCCCTAGGTCCTGGGTTCCATCCCAGCCCTACAAAAGAAAAGAAGGAGGATTGTTGAAGGGGAAGAGCAGACTTTAGACTCTGACCCACTTCTCTGAATGATGGAACAGTACAAAACGGAGACGGCAGAGGAGCCCTCTATTAGCAGTAATGGGCCAGCGTGTACCCAGAGAACAGTCCAGACAGGTTGCATCAGTCAGCGCCGGCTTCCAGGGTGCTGAGTAATAAGCCCCTGACCTGCCACAGCTCATGGCAAGCTCTTCGTGCTCTTCTCCTGGTGCATGGTGGGCTGGGGAGGCCCTAAGGCTCTGATGGGTTTATGGAAGCCTGGGGCTGGGAATCAGGCCAGGCCCAGCATCCGGCCAACTGCAGAGCACACCCAAAGCCTCTCTTGCCACTGCCCAGAGCAGGTCAAGCGAGGCCGCATCGGTGGGGCCAGGGAGGTGGTGGGCAAAGCTGGGCCTGCCCCACGGCCACACACCAAGACCCTAACAGCACTCGTGCCAAGGCTCGGCACTGGTTTTATTTTCTTCTTTTTCTTACACAAATATTTGAATTTTTTCTAAAAGGAGTGGGTAATTTTTGTATAGTCTTAAAATTTACGTCATCGCTTCTCTGGGAATCTTGAGGATCTTTGAAAATCCTAAGGCAGTGTAGACCCCAGGATGATGCTCGCACAGTGGCCACCCCCTCCCCTGCCAGGGCAGACATCACTAAACGATCTCCGCAGTGCTTATAATCTCTAGGGCTCCAGATGGGCTCTCGGCCCCTCCAGCCTCACCCTCTGTGGGAAGCAGTCATGGATGACAACTTGTGGGCTCAGTGGTACTTTGAGGTGTGAGGTGCAGATTATCTGCCCTGCCCCTCACCAGACCTGTGACAGGCTCAAGGAAGGGGTTGGGTAGAAAGTGGCCTCTTGTCACCATTCCTCAGCAGACTCATCCACCAGTGCCCATGTGTGTCAGGTCTGCACAGGAGAGGCCAGGAGCTACGGGTGTGGCTGTCTGGCCAGAAGGTCACTGAGGGCAGATTACGCTAGTGTGCATGGCTGCCCCAAAGTGTAACCCTCTGGGGGCGGGAGGAGTCCCCTGTGCACCCCAGAGTGCAGGGAGCCCAAGTGCCCGCCAGGGAGCCACACACTGGGCACCAGCTTCAGGGCCACCTGTGCACACAGCCCAGTGCTGGAGCTGGTGACATGCGAGCATCACCCTCATGCTATTCCTCAGCGTGCTCCGGGAAGAAGAGGTCGTAGTAAAGGTGGGCTCCCATTTCCCGGCGTGGAAAGTGAACCAGAGGTTACTCTGGGATTTGTGGTATAGCTGTCCTTCAGCATCTTTGGGGGCCCGGCTCCAGGATCCCGGCAGATATCAAAATCCGTGGATCCTCAAGTCCCTCAGAAATGGCACATACCATCAGTGGTAGCACACAGCAGTAGTCCCAGCTTCTGGAGAGGCTGAGGCAGGAGAACCACTAGCTCAACCCCTCAAATTAAAGAATAAAAAGGGGTGGGGTGTATCTCAGTATCCCTGGGTTTGATCCCAAGTGCTTAAAAAAAAAGAGAAAAGAAAAAGGAACAGTATTTGTATATAACCTACATGCATCTTCCCAGGTACTTTAAATCATCTCTAAATGACTTTTAATACCAGGTACAAGATAAATTCCATGTAAATGATTGTTGTATTGTTTAGGAAATAATGATCAGAAAAAAAGCTATGTGTGTTCAGCACAGACAGAATTTGGGGGGCAGAATATTTTCCACCTGCAATTGGTTGACACGGAGGAGGCAGAACCGCGGTTATGCAGCACCTAATGCATTAGTTACCAACTGCTGTGTAACAAACAGGTCCAAAACTCAGTTGTTAAGAGAGCAATGGTCACTTATTCCTCTCCTGGCCTCTGAGGTGAACTGGGAGGTCAGGGTCTGCTGCAGTCCCCACAGCTCCCCACAGCAAGTAGCCCTGAAGGCCAAGTGGAAGCCGCCCTGCTCTGTGGGTCATGCAGGGCCACCCCGACTCAACACGGGACACAAGGGCACCGGGGCGCAGGGCCATGATCACTGGCCGCTCTCTACTCCAGCTGTCCGCGTTCCGGACGCTGCTGTTCTCCGCACCGGGCGAAGAGGAGGAGGCGATGGTGAACAACTACCGCCCGCTTCAGCCCCTGATGGACCGTGAAGTGCGCTCATCCTTCCGGGCACCGACTCAGAGTCCGCGTGAACGGCCAGAGCAGATGTGGCAAGGGCGGCGGGTGCTCCAGGCTTCCCCATCTGAGCCCCATGGCCCCCGAGCTAAGTAAAGAGAAAGGCCCTCGCTCCCGCCATGCGCTCTCCATCACCAGTGAAAGAAGTCACTCTGGAGAAATGCAGTTGCGCCAGGGAGCGGAACCCTGGGACACGGGCACCTCCTGGGGCCTGGGCAGTGTGAGGCTGCCCCCGTCCAGCCAGCCACCTCAGCTGGGCCGCCACCCTCACCCACACCCCCCTTCCTGCTGCACGTGGTGTCCTCCGTCGGTCGCACCTCCCAGCGACGCAGACTGGCACTGGCGTTGTCCTTTTCCCCACTTCCTTTTCCCTGGCTGCACCTGTGTCCTGGGCCACCACCACAGCCCAGTACGGCAACTCGGTGGCTTAGAAAGAGAGGAATAAACTCTGCCGGGAGGCCAGGTGCTAGAAGTCTCAGCCTGCGGGGCTGGCTCCTCTGATGCTGCAGGGGAACTGCTTTCCTGGCTCCTCGAGGGGCTGCCCACTTTCCTGCCTGAGGGCCGGTCCTCACCTTCAGACTGTCGCCAACCTCTACTCCATGTCGCAGCTCCTTGCTTAGCCTGCTGCCTCCCTGGCAAAGGACCCTGCGATTCCCCAGGACGAGCTTCCCATCTGAAGATCCTTGACTGAATGCCATCTGTCATGCCAGGTGCAGGACTGGGACCCGGGGTCCTTGGGCCTCAGCCCCCAGCCACGAGGCCCTGGCCCAGGCAGGGTCGTGTGAGGTAAGAGGGCCTTGAAGGGCGGGCAGAGCGGCCACACCCTCCCTGAGCATCCCTGGATGCTGGCTTCCGGCCCAGCTGCCAGACTCGGGCCTCAACATCTCCCTGGGTGCCCCAGGCCCTGGGTTTGTGCCCCAGCTTCTGTGGGGACTGTCCCTGGCCCGCAGCCCTGAAAGCACCCCATGTCCGAGAGCTAGCTTCTCTCTTGGTCCCTGCCACATGCATCCTGCTGGAAGGACATCCAGGGCCACCCTGTCTAAATCGCCACCCCACCTTGGGGCAAAGAGAGCTCTGCGACCATCTGAATACTCATTTCACGAACATGTGGAAATGACCCCAGCGCCCCGGCAGTGCCCTTCCCACCGAGGAGCAGCACCCACTAAGAGCAGCATCGTGAAGCAGAGGGGACACCTGGCAGGCGCCCTTTCGGCTCCGTCAGTCTGGATTTCTCTTTTCTAGTTAGAAAGCCTCTCAATCCTTACAGCATTTTAATTTGCATGGCATTAGGTTCTTTCCCCTAGGGTAGATACACAGGTCCACAAACCACCTAATCCTGTTATCTCAGGACATTTCCGTACCATCAGGTCAGCAACAAACAACGGCTCCAAAAGTCAAGCCAAGCTGTCCTGTTTCCCAAGGCCTGGTGACAAGCTCCGCTCCGCTGGGAGAGATAAGAAGTGCCCTCCTGTTACGTCTGCAGACTGTACCTAGAATCGCAGTGGGGTTTACTTTGGCAGGGCCCTGTGCTTCTCTCCCAGGGCAGAACTTCCTGTGGCATCAGCACCGTGGCCGGGGGGCCCGGTGGGGACCTCAGGGGCAGCCTGGAGGCCACTGCTGGAGAGCACAGTGGTGGAGGAGCCATGGAGCTGGCCCTGTTCCCGGCACCGTGGGTGCCACAGCGACAGCTGATGACGGCAGAGCACCAGAGAGACGAACGGCTGTGTCCTGCAGAAGGGAGGAGAGAGATATTCCTAGCTTCAGATTGGACCCAAATACTTTCTGCCAGTTGGGAAATGCAGCCACCTACTTGGGTCTCCGTCACAGGACCACATATCCTAGGGTCACTCTACCCCGAGGCCACAGACTCAGTGGCTTCTGACAGATGTGTTGGCCGAAGCCCAAAACTCTAGCTGAGCTCAGGTCAGGGCATCCTGGGCCAGCTCCTCTGGGGCGTCCGGGGCACCTGTTTTCCCACCCTTCCCAGCTCCCAGCACGCGTTTGTCCGCTCGGCCCCTGCTCCGTTGTCCACACCAGCAACACGGTCTCCCAGATCTCTCTGACCGGCCCTCTTGCCTCCCGTGGGAGGGCCCCGTCCTGACACTGAACCACGGGCTGATCCAGGGCACCCCCTACGCGAGGTCCTTGGCTTCACGACATCTGTGAAGTCCCTTTCCACATCCGGGTCCTGGGGTTAGATGGACCTCACTGGCTGTTCTCTGCTCACCCCCCTGCCTGCAAACCGGGGCTCTGGTCATGGGGCCCAGCCGCTGGGGCTGCCGTCGGAGTGGTGGAGTGGGGTGGCACAAGGGGCTGTGGGGCGCAGGGAGTGCCAGAGGTGTCGGAGGGGCTTTGCCCCAAGCACCCTGCAGCCGAGAGCAGTCAGGCTGCACGGTGTTGGAGCAGCCCCTGGGCACACACAGCCCCTGAGCCCTTCACACCCAGGCGGCATGAAGGAGCAGCGAGGCCTGATGCGCTTGATCTTAGTCAGCTAAGGCCTGCGAGCGGCCCAGGGCCCCTGTGCCACGCCGGGTGGTGCAGCGGCCATCAGCACGGGGCGAAGGTGGCAGTGGGAGCCAGCGTGGAGCAGTGTACCCAGCCTGCCGTGTACCACACGGCACTCGCTTGACGCAGTCGCTCTCTGCCTCCCGGGCCCCTGGGTCTCTGGTCACCAGACTCTGGCAATGAGTGGGGCCGTGGAAGACGGGAAGCACTGTGCACTGAAGGGGGTGCAGGGCTGCAGGAAGACAGGACAGGACAGGGAACGGGGACCTCGTGAGGGTCACCGTGGCAGCCCAAGTGACCTCCTCTGCCTGCTCCTCCGCCACCAAGGCTGTCATGAGACACAGCTGCCGCCCAGCTGCCAGGAAGTCTGGGCTTCCAGAGGCCCTGGCTGTGATGCGTCCTCAACAAACTGTCTAGCATCCGACTGGAGCGCAGGGTCGGGTCTGAGGCATCGGTGGAGGTGGACAGCAACCCGGAAGGCTCTGCTCCTGCAGCTTCCCCTCACTCACAGCCAACTCATTAGGTGGCTGCGGGTTTCCAGCTGTGCTGGCACTGATGCTGTCCATGCCAATCCCGGCCCACCTCTGAGCCAGGCACAGTGCAAGCCTCTGCCTGCATGTGCAGCGCCCCTCACCCCTGCAGGTCAGGCCCCCGCCGGGGAGCTCCTCACCCCAAAGCCTGGGGGGAACGAGGTTGAAGCTCCCGAAGGTCAGGGAGCCATGGTGGGGTCAGGAACCAGAGCCATCCTGACCGCCTGAGCTGCTGTCACCAGCTCTTGAGTATTCTCCAAAGCCCTCCTGCTTCTAAGGGGAAACTGAGGCTCACCCACCCAGGCAGCCAGACAGGCAGTATTTCGCCCTACCCCTTCCAACCGGTGCAGTTAGTAAATTTAGAAAAACTGCAGCGCGATGGTGAGCTCTACACCCGGGAAGGCTGTGCGCGCAGCCTGAGGGGTGAGGAGACCCTGGAGACAGCGTCTGCCGGGGACAGGACCGCAGGCCCCTGGCGCGGCGCGGGGGAGCCACGGCCACTGCTCCATGGGCCTCCACCCCACGGGGACCTGGAGAACGCGAGGAAAGGCCGAGCGCAAGAAGGGACGCAGCACCCCGGCCCCGCCCCCAGCTGCGTGGCAGGCTCACGTCCACGGGGACGCCGCGTGGCACACGCACAGCTCTCTCGCTCTCCCGCAGCGCATGGTCACGGCCTCCTGAAAATGTGCTCTTTAGCCACTATTTTTAACCCTGGCTTCAGGGCTGAGACACTGACACATGCCCGGGAAGCGGCCACGCCAGGACACGCTGCTGAAAGACCCAAACAGCCAGAGGAAAGACGTGGGTCTGGGCCCTCAAAGCAACCACACTGCAAACAAAGCCAGGAGCCCCGCAGCCGTCCGTCGGGAGGCCAGGGACAGTGCCATTGTCTCGGACAGCCTCCGGGCCCGCTTTGAAAGTTCAAGGCTTCCTCCCTTTGCTTTCATGTTTTTTTCTCGCTTTGTGAAAACACAAGAACACAGGTGTGTGAGAACAAACACTTGCCGACTCCGGCAAAGCACGCCTGCACCTCCCCCTCCCGTCCTGGCACGTTTAGGGTGACATTTCCTGGACCAGGCCCCCAGGGAGGGCCCACGCCCAACCACAGACCCGAGGACTCCCGCGGTGCTGACCAGCGGCTGTGGCCCCCGCCTCTGCCCACAGCCTGATCTGTGCTGCCCAGGATTTGCAGCCCCTGCCGCGGCTGCTCCTGAGCCCAGCATCCCCTAGGCAGGCGGAAGGTGTCGGCCCTTCAGCCATGGGCCGTCCCTCCTGCTGTGTCCCCAACTGGATGGCCTTTCAGAAAATAGCTCCTCCGTCTACCCAGAGCCAAGTGGGACTCAGGGAGGACCCAGTGGGTCCCCTCAGCCCGTGGCCCCCATCCCCAGGTATCCATGGGGTCTGCTGGCAGCACCCCAAAACCTTCGCATCTGATAGCCCCCTGCCACCCCTCACCTCCCGCTCAGCCCCTTCCCCACAGCTCTCTTCGAGTCCCCAGCAAACCCAGGGACCAGGCCAGGGCGGGGATCTGAGAAACCCTAACTTGGTCACGTTGCTCCCTGCACAACTGAGCCTCCTCATTGTACCAGGAGCAAAGCAGGCGCTACCTGGGCACAGCCTCCCGCCTCAGCCTCCTGTCCAGAAGGCCTGTGTTCCCCAGAGCTCCCTCGCTCCCCTGGGCTGTCAAATACCAGCCCAAAGATTTTCCCAAAGAACTGAGCTCTAGCCAGATGTGGTAGTGCACACCCATAATCCTAGCACTTGGAAGGCTGAGGCGGCAGGAACACAAGTTCAAGGCCAGCCTGGGTAATTTAGCAAGACCCTGGCTCAAAATTTAAAAAGGCTTAGGACATAGCTCAGCACTCTTTGGTACCCCCCCCCCCACACACACACACTCACGCACGCGTGCATGTGCACACAGATGTTCCGCCACAGCACAGAGGAAGCCTGGCTGATTTTCCAGTGCTGAGATTCATCCCTTTGTCAGAATCTCCTGTGTCAGCTTGGGAATCTTTTCCAACATGGCTGAAATGTCTCTAAGCATGGGAGTTATTTTTAAGCAGTGTGAAATCCACTAGTCCTTTTCCCTGAATTCTGGAAACTCAGAGAGGAGCTGGCCAGTGTACACGGCCTTGAACAGAGCCTCGCCTGGAAGGCAGGCCATTTGTGCACACGAGGTGTCCCATATGTGGCAGCTCTCGACCACCCAGATGCTGCGCTCCCAGGGAGCGCCCAGCACAGGCTGCAGCCACTGTGTCTCTGTCCAGGAAGAACGGGACGCAGCCCGAGCCCTGGTGGAAGTCGCATGTGGCAGGAGCACCTGAGCCCTGGGGTACAAGCAGGTGTGCACTGCAGCGGTGGGGACCAGCAGGAGGACAGGGCCAGGCCAAGGCAGGGGAGTTGGTGTCTGGGCTGAGACAGCTGGCTGTGACACAGACTCGCTTCCACAGTGTCCCAGCTGCATCCTGGGCGCAGGAGGTGTTGGCTTTTCAGAAGTGGAAACTGAGGCAGAGGTCAGCCCTGTCTCACCACGAGGGCCCCTAAAGAATGGCCACTCTGCAGCCTTCAGGATGGGGTGGGCGGCCGAAGGCACTTGCAGAGCAAGGTCACGGAGGAGCAGTTTAAAGCTCCCGGGATGAAGGGACCCCAGATCCTCAAGCTACCCTTGGCAAGGCAGAAATCGTGCCCGGTTCCATTCTGAAGTGTGCCAGTCCCAAGCCACTGAGGCCCTGGGCTCGCTGCTCCCCAGACATGCCTGCTACAGACCACAGTCCCGAAAGCTTGTCAAAGACATCGAGTCCACTTCTGACCAGCATGGTGACACACAGCTTCCATCCCAGAGACCCGGGAGACTGAGGTAGGAGGACTGCAATTCAAGGCCAGGCCAGACGACTTACTGAGAAGTTGACTAAAATTTAGAAATCAAAAGGGCTGGGACGTAGCTGAGTGGTACAGTGCTCTCCTACCATGCGTGAGGCCCTGGGCGAGGGGAGCAAACGTGCCTTTCCGAAGGCCCAACCTATCCATGCCTGTCCCTCTGGAACGAGAGGAATGGGAGCAGGGCTTCATGGAGAGCAAGTCCTCTCTCCCCACAAGAAGCAGAAGCCAGGAGTGAGTGGGGACAAGGAGACAACCCTTACCTGCTCCTTGGCTAGGCTTTCTTCGACTTTAGCACCTGTGAGGGGAGTTTTAGAGAGAGCCCCAGAGAAAAAAATATGCTTGTTGGAGAAACAACCCACAAGTGCAAGAGCCAGGTGTGGTGGCACACACCTGTAATCCAGTACTTGGGAGGCTGAGGCAGGAGGATCACCCAGAGTTCGAGGCCAGCCTGAGCTACACAGTGAGACCCTATCTCAAAAAAAACAAAACAAGAACCTGAGAAGCACTGGGCAATAACCCAAGACAGCCAGATGCTGACAGAAGCAGCTCCCGCCCGTCTGTGTGCCGCCTTGGAGCCTCGCCCCACCCCCAGGTGCGAGGGGCTCCCTGAGGAGCTGTCACTTCGAGAGACGCGCTCTGGCCCCAGGCGCTGCACAAAGGCCACCCGTTCCTGACACCACAGCCTGGGAAAACGTCCCCCCCAGAAGAGGCGACCAGCCTCCCTGCACACATCGAGGGGCGACTGCTCCAAGACGGAGCTTCCCAGGCTTGGCGACTCCAGAACCCGCGTCTGAGTAAAGACTCTCCAGGCGGCCTGTGCCGGTCACGTGCGCCACTTCCCACCCGTGGCTGAGCCGCGCTGACCACAGTCAGTCTGCTAGTCGGCGTATGCTGGGACGGCTTCAAACACGGCACACACGGCCATGCCCCGGAGAACGCCCCGGAAGTAGAACTGCTGCTCAAAGGGGATGCACAGTGCCAGGTTTTTGAGAGAAACCTCCCAATTTCCATCTAGAAAGAAGCGACTCTTCCTGTCGCCCGCCCAAGAGGACACAGGACCTCCTGATAAATGACTGAGACAAAAGGTGCCGATAGTCCAGCCGCTAGGTGGCGCTCCCGGCAAAGATTTTTCGAGTCCGAAGCCGGGTAAGGCGGTATGGACTTGTCCTTGGCCGAGGGAGGCTGAGATACTGAGAGGGAAAGGTGGAAAGATACAGGCGGGGCTTGAATTTTAAAAACTCATCACGGTAAACGACAGATCATTGAGAACGATGAGACAAAGGCGTCCAAGTCAATCAGGAGTACTTTGAGAATTAATGGCAACATGTCTGTTACTGTAATAAAAATTTTAATTTAAATATTTACTGTAGTTTATGATCGGCCCTTGTGGATCAAATGTCTATGGCAATTTCTATCAAATTAAAGCGATGACACTGTGTCCTCATCCGCCTTCTTCACTGCATCTGGCACCGTGCGACTTCTGGCTCCTCCCCAAAGTCAGATTGACCATAAAAAGTCAACATTTTGAATCAATCCAGGACACAGAGGCAGCCATGATGGCACAACTAAAGCCACTCATGAACCCCAGCATGGTGGTGCACACCTGTAAATCCAGCACTTGGGAGGCTGAGGCAGGATTGCCAGGAGTTCAAGGCCAGCCTGGTGTACATACTGAGACCCTGTCTCAAAAACAAGACACTCATGGAACGAGAGAACATTCACCAAACATATATGTTTTAATCACACCCGTACATACCAAAGCAGACCGGAAGAACCCCAGGAACGTACCTACCCCGAGAAGTGGGGGCAGATCGAGGGTGGTAGGTGACAGCCTCTGGTGCACCCCTTCCTGCACAGGGCCCCCTCCTGTCCCAAGTGAACTGCTGCCCTGCCTCTGTCTCTTCCCACTCACCTGGACTCCCAGCTCCACCCAGGGAGCCCATCCAGCCTGCTTGGCTGCTGGCAGCTGGCTTGCTGGGCCTCCCAGGGCCTCTGCTCACCAGGCTGCGGTTGAGCCCCCCTCTGTGCACCTGTCAGAGCTCCGTCAGACTCTGGCTTGCGTGCCCTGCCCTGCAGGTGACTGCATGTGAGGTGGAGTCAGTGTGGGGCCTTGCCAAATGGCTGGCCACGGTGAAACCTAAATACACAGAGCAGTGGGGTGACTGAACCACAGGTACAGAGCATCAAATGGCTCAGACAGATGGGGTTCCAGCCGGTCTGCTGGCCAGACAAGCCATACGACCGTGAGCCTCAGTTTCCCCACCTATCAAATGGCTCTAAGGACTGGGATCTGCCCTGTGAAATGCGAAGTTCACAGTGAGGTCTCAGCCAGGCTCAACTGTGTGGTCCTCTGCCCCCACAAAGCACAGGATGGAGATCCAGAGTGGAGAGCATGTCTTCTCTGTTGTTGCCATTGCTAAGCTTTGCTATCTTCCTGAGCCACCACCTTGGGCAGGAGCAGAGCTGCAAGTGGATGTTTGTGTGGCCTTTTGTCTCCTTTGCTGTTGGCTGTGTGGGCTGTGGAGAATTCCAATGGTTTTATCAGTGCAGATGAGTGGCTGGTACACTGGGCGGGCGCGTGCAACATGTCCTGGCAGTCCCCTGCCCAGCATGTCTTGGTGGGGCCAGGGCAGCCTGTCCTCCCTCCTCCACGCTGCTCCCGACTCCAGGGCTCACTGTCCTGCTGCAGCTCTCTCACGCTGTCACCCGTAACCCAGGCCTCACAGCGACCCCTGGGACCCACGGAGGCAGACACCAAGTCAAGGAGAGACCCTGGCCCCTCACCACACCCATCGCCCCACCCGTGTGTCCAGGCCTAAGGGACCATGCAGTCCCTCTTCCGACTTCTGACCGAGTTACCTGAATCCCTCTTGGCCAAGATCCTCAGCATGTTTCGAGACTGACAGGCCAAAGCCCTTCACCTTCACCTGCAGGCAGCTCCGAGCTTCCCCGCTAGCCTGGGGGCTGCCTGGCTCTTTCCCAGAGAGCCCGTCCTGTTGATTTAGCAGGGCTTGTGCAGCTCCTGGGTTTCTGCCCCCCCCCGCGCGCGCCGCCCCCGGTCGCTAGCGAGCTTCCCCTTGGCCTGAAATGAGCATCTCGGGAGTCCAACCTGTCCCCGCAAGCTCTCTGGGCGGGCAAACCACCCCACGACGCCGTTCCCCTGGCCGGACCTGACCCGGCCCCCTGCCCAGGCACGCTTATCTCCCGGGTGTCCGGAGGAGCAGACTGGCAGGGGTGGGGTGCGTCGTCAGGGACAGCCCCTGGGCCCTCTGGAGTTTGTGGGGCTCAGGCACCCCGATCTCCTGGCAGAGGGGAGGGGAGGGCGCGCCCTGACCTCGGGGAGCCCTGCGGCCTGCACGGAAGATGGGCCGGGAGACACGCAAGTGGGCGAGGGGGTTGCGAGGCCGGGATCTGCCGGAAGCTCCACGTGCTCCGAGCAGGCCAGGGTGCGGGTGCCCGGGGCGGGGCCGGGGGCTCGGCGGGGCGGGGCCAGGCCACGGGGGCCAATGGCGGCGGTGGGAGGGATCTCGCGGCGGCCCAACGGGGGCGAAGGGTGGGCGGGCCCTGCGGGCGGGGCTATGAAAGCCGGGCAGGCCGGGTGGCGCGAGCGCGGCGGAGCGGTGGGGCGCGCGGTGTCCAGGCCCGGCTGGTAGCGAGCATGGCGGGCGCGGGCGCGAAGCGGCGCTCGGTGGCCACCGCGGCGGCAGAGGAGGAGGAGCAGCAGGCGCGAGAGAAGATGCTGGCGGCGCGGCGCGCGGACCCCGCTGGCCAGGGCCAGGGCGAGGGCGAGGGCGAGGGCGTGACCCTGCAGCGGAACATCACCCTGCTCAACGGCGTGGCTATCATCGTGGGCACCATCATCGGCTCGGGCATCTTCGTGACCCCCACGGGCGTGCTCAAGGAGGCGGGCTCGCCGGGCCTGGCGCTGGTGGTGTGGGCCGTGTGCGGGGTCTTCTCCATCGTGGGCGCTCTCTGCTATGCCGAGCTGGGCACCACCATCACCAAGTCGGGCGGCGACTACGCCTACATGCTGGAGGTGTACGGCTCGCTGCCCGCCTTCCTCAAGCTCTGGATCGAGCTGCTCATCATCCGGCCCTCCTCGCAGTACATCGTGGCGCTGGTCTTCGCCACCTACCTGCTCAAGCCGGTCTTCCCCACCTGCCCGGTGCCCGAGGAGGCCGCCAAGCTCGTGGCCTGCCTCTGCGTGCGTGAGTAGGGGACCCCGGGAGGGAGGGGGCAGCCGTGGCCCTGGGCCCTGGTCCCGGCGCCCAGCATCCCTGCGACACCGCCTCCCCGGACCATGGGAGGCCGACCGAGGTCGCTGGTCCCGAACCCACTGGCCTTTCACTCCTTCCATCAGCCTCCCTGGGCCCCTGGGAAGAGTTCTGGGCCGCCCGGTGGGCAGTCTGCTTCCCTACCAGATCCGATCCATTAGGACTTAGGGCTTACGCAGTGCCACCCGCAGGCAGGGCGGCTGAGCAATACTTGGTGTGTCTTGCATGGGCCCACGTGGAGTGACTGAAAAGCGTTTCCTGTTTCTGCTCAGTTGTGATTGGTTGTTAAGAAATTGCAGTTTTAAAAAAAAAAAAACCATTCATTTCTGTTCTCCAAACCAGCCTGTCAGGGCTTGGGCAGGCTGACTCATAGAAAATAGTAGTAATAAAATTGTGTGTGTGGTGAAGGTTGCTCACTTATGACCAGGAGCAGGACTGAATTCCCCTTGCCTGGGAGTAAGGACATCCATTGGCAGAGCCCCTGGGCCCACGGGCACAGTGCTAGTTGGCCAGGGAGGGCTGCTGCTCCACAGGACAGTTTCTTGCACGATTACAGGGTTAGAAAGTCAGACATAGCAAATGCTACTGGGTTGGTTTTGTTCTGTCTTGGTTTTGGCTTCTGTCAATTCTCAAGTTCATCTTTGGCCATCCAAGACAGATTTACTTGTTTTCTTAAAGCTGCCACCTGATTTAAGGCCCTGCCTGCACACTGTAGTGCATACAATTACAGTGCTAACGGGGTTACACTGGAGTGTGAGTCACAGCAGTGAAACTTAGTGCTTGGAGCGGCTCCGGGCTGGCAGTGGTGCCCCTGGGTGGTGTAGACCTGCTCAGCCAGCACCTGCACTGTGAGGCGGTCTGCAGAGATGTGGGGACCAGAGCCAGCAGCTCTCTGCCAAGATCAGGGCCTTCCTGAGGCCAAACAAGACCTGCAACCCGATGAGAAGGGTCTCCCTGGGGTGGGGCTGGGCACCCAGAAACTGCCTGCCCGCAGTAAGCAGGGCGTGGCCGTGGCTGGTCTGCATGGGGCTACAAGCTGGGAAGGCCCGAGGCTGCTGAGTGGGTCGTGGAGAACGATGCGTGGGTGACACACTGGGCTGCATGAGGGAACAGGCCTCTGACAGATTGGCTTTGCTGGTTTTGTCTTCAGGGAATTTTAATTGTCCAGTTTTCATCACCCCACAGTGTTTAATGTGTGGGCCTGGCTGGTGATGGGGGTACGTGTTTCCAGGGCCGCCTCTAACCTGTGGAATGGGCTGGAAGCTGGGGCACTGAGCTCCGAGGTCACTGGCAGCACGTGTGAAATACTGTTCTGGGGGCCCGGGATTTAGCTCAGTGGTTTCGCTGCCTGCTGCGCAAGCACAAGGACCCGAGTTCGATCCCTGGTACCAAAAAAAAAAAAAAAAAATACTGTTTTGGCCAAGGGCGGACAGAGTCAGAACAGGGGTGTTCTCATGTTCTTTTCCTGACGAAAGGCCCTAGTATATGACTACGTGGCCCCGTATGGCCACGCATCTAATCAACCCTGAGATCCACATTCCTCCTCTTCCCCACGCCTGGGCCAAGACGCCACGGCTAAAATGCAGGCTTCCAGAGCTTTCTCTGTATGGATAGCCAGTTGCTCCTTCTGCTAAGATCTCCCTGGATTGCCATGTACATCTTGTTCTCTCTTTTTTTTAAAGCCTGAGGCAATATTTCCACTGAAGTACCCAGAGGCAGCAGCTGCTTTTCAGCTGCAGGAGACCCTTCGCTTAGAGGTCCCACAGGTGTGCTCAGCATTGGGGTCCCTACTTTGAGAAAACAGTAGACAGGGGTGTGGACTCTAATTCCATAGCCACAGTGCCTTCCGAAGAAGCTGTTCCAGACCAGACATTCGTGGGCTTCTTTGGTGATAGAGGGCAAGTCGCTTTCAAACGGTCCTTGGGGCCCCATGGGTGAAGCCCCTGGTGAGTCCTGAGTGGAAACCCCTGCAGGGTGCAGATGTGCGGCTTAGTGCCAGTCAGAGCCCCTGTCCACACAGGAAGGCTGCGCTCTGCGGGTACCCATCAGCCCCCTGCTCACGTGTGTGAGGGTGCGTGTGTCACCTCCTTTTTACTGGGACAAGGATCTGCAGTGACAGAAAGGGACAGGCTGTCTGCAGGAGAGGTAGCTCCTGGCCAGCCCACGTGGGAGAGGGTGCATCCCAGTGCCAGGCCCCGGCCAGGGAGCTGGGCCTGGCCAGGGTGGCCCTCCCGGGTGCCCCACAAGGTGCTCCAACTCACCAGGGAGTCAGGCATCTGAGGAGCTTCAGCTGTGTGTGTGGCCTCACAGGTGGAGGGGCAGCCTAAGCCCTGACCTGAGGACAGCCATACAGGACCGGGACAGTTTTTGGCATTCAGCAGGGACAGTGCCCTGACCCTGGGGATACTCCTGAGGAGAGGAGTTGCAGTAGATCTCAGAGGTCACATAGGAAGTAGGTCCCACAATTTCTCCTCCAGGCTGCACACCGACCAGGTACCTGGTTTTGGGGAATGTCTGCCACACAGGAGGCCGGACTGGAGCCTCAGCTCTGTGCATCTCTTCAGCCCCAGGGCCTGTCCCTCTGCACCGTTCTTTCTGCTTGCTGAAGGCTGTCTTGTGAAATGGCTTGGCTGGCTTGATCAGTGCGTGGGATGGTCCTGCAGACAGGCAAGGGAGAAAGCCAGTCCTTGGGCTCTGGCACAGGGAATTAGGGCTGAGTGAGGTCTTTTGGGGGTTTTGTCCTTCCTAAGGGAGAGAACTGCTTAAGGGGATTATTGCCTAATGAGAACATGGTGGCATTACCTTTGACTTCAAGCTGTGCCAGATCTCATCTACAGAAGTCCAGCAGACTGGAGCTGAGATTCTGGCTGGGGCTGGGTCGGGGTTGGGACAGGTAGGCCGACCTTCCTGGGCCCTGGCTCCCTCTGTGTGTGGGAGTAGCACGGGGCCAGATACCTGGAGTCCCTGCTTGGAACTGGGATGCGCTCACAGCTGCCAGCCTTCTCCAGCGCCTTCCCCGGAAGGAGCTCTGGAACGAGGGATGGGAGCCAGCCCTCTGCCACCCTCGGCCACCTACCCCAGCAGCACGGCTCTGTGTGCAGGGACCCATGGGGCCTCTGAGCCTCCCTTTCCGCTTCTGTGTAAAGTAGGCAGCCCCAGCCCCAAGCGGGTGTCAGAGAGGATTAGGCCAGGCATGGTGTCTGTCATGTGGCGTCTCTTCTGCCCTCCTCCATCTTGCTTGCCTTGGAAGCTAAGGAAGAGAGCTGGGCTAAGGTGGAGGCCAGGTGTCTCCCTGCCCTGGAGCCTGGCTCCAGTGTGACCTGCCCTTGGCACGAGGATCAGCCTGAACCAGGGGGTGGAGGTGGGGGCCTGGTTGAGGACCCTCAGCCTAGTGCCCAGCCCTTCCCGGAGGGGCCAGCCCGGTCAGCTGACCTGAAACCCGGGCGTGAGTTGGGCTGATGACCAGAGAGGGGGTGGGGTGGGGGTGCCAAACGTCCTTTGAGTCGTCTGCTGGTCTCCTGCTCCCCTTGGGTGCCCACCACTGTAGACCCCTCTCTACCCAGGCCTGTCCCTCAAGCCCTGGGGTGTCTGGACACCTGCCAGCCACCACTGCAAGGACACTGGCGAGCAAGGAAAGGCCCTGGTGTTTCCAGGGCACCCCGGGGCCTGTGCCTCAAGTGTGAGCTCTGTGCAGCTGACAGCCCAGTAATTAGCCCTGCAATCCGGCTTTCCCAGCCGTGCAGGGGCAGCTGGCGCCCGAGTGGGTCACGCCCAGTCACGGGGCCCGGCCTGGGCCTGCAAGGCTGTTTCAGAGCTCGTGACCCACAGACTGGTGGGAGGTGGGCAGGCATCTGTGACCCTTTCCTTCCGAGTCACAGACCGTGGTTAACCCCGCAGGATGAGCAGGATGCCTGCCAGAAAGGCCCGGCAGGTGCCTCTCCCACCAAGACGTGGGGGCACCTCAGACCTCACGGCAGTCTCTGCTCAGGCCGCACCCAGGCCTCTGGAATCCATGTAACCATCCTGTCTTGCTGCTGGGGAAACTGAGGTGGGAATAGGCTGGGGGTGCTGAGTCATGGCACTGCCTGGTGCCGCCCACCATTTGTCACCAGGCGCGTGGAGGTGGCCCAGCATGCCTGGGCAGGGTGGCGAGTGCCAGGGCCTGGGCTAGCTCCGTGGTCCGGTGGGTCGGAGGTCCGTCTATGTTCTGGACCCCTTGGGGAGTCCTCCCTCTCGTGGGCAGCTGTCCAGCTGTCCTTCTGTCTTCTGAGTGTCCTGTTGAAGTTCACTGCACACGAGCTCCACGACGGCCACCCAGAGCCCCTCTGCAGGCCCCGTGCCTGTCCTGGGGCTCAGGTGTCCGTCTCGGGAAGTGGCATTCCCGGGAGGCACAGCCTCTCCCAGAGCTGCCCAGACTGCTGGCCGTGGGGAGCTGCCTTGTCCTGTACACGTAGACACCCTCGGTGCCCTGGAGCCCCTATGTGCCACCCCAGGCAGTGCCTCCTCCCACCACTGCTGAGTCCCCCAGGAGGACCCTCGCCTCATGGGTCCACGAAGCCCTGGACTCTGGCTGGGTAGGGCAGCTCTGCCTGTGTGTCCAGGCTGGCAGGAGTCCCTGTCCAGCAGCAGGCCATGCCCACCCTCCCCTGGCCGGGATCTTCTGCTATGTGACTTCCCATCCAGGCTCCTGGGGAACAGTACCTGCAACCTGATCCCCGGGACTGGCTGGCATCTGTCACTGAAGCTGAGCCGAGTTGTGTGTGCCTGCAGTGAGTGACCAATGGAGAGCCCCGGCCCTGTGACCGTGACTAGTGCAGTGGTTTGTCCCTGTCCCTGTGAGCTACCACGGCTGACCTGGGATCTGCCTTTGGCTCCTGCTACCTGTGGACAGGCCACCAGGCCGGCTTCAGAACAAGGAAGCTGCGGAGGATGCACCGTCACTGGGTCCCTTTAGGGCCTTTGTCAGCCCGAGTGATCTGGAAGCTCTCAGGGCCCCAAGGCGTCCTGAGCCAGGCCCTAGCTCTGTCCTTAGCTGTGGGTCCCTCCAGCTGTGTGACCAGGGTGGGGCACTTTGCCAGAGTTCAGAGGTGGGAGTGGGCCCAGTCCAGGGGTCAGTGGGGAGTGGCAAGGGGCCCCTGGCAGTCAGATGCCGGGGAGCCTCCTGCAGCTGGCACTAGCGTCCCCAGCCCTGAGTGTTTTTCTTGAGGTGCGTCAGGCCCACTTGGAGCTGGAGCTCCCCTCAGCTCCGGGACTCACCTGGCCTCTGCCCCTGCACCTGAGCCCCAGTGGGTCGGGCGAGGCCGGGGCCTGTGTGTTCCAAACAGCTGTGTGGCCTCCCCACCCCACACACGTGTTGTCCCGTGATGGAGCCTGAGCTCACCTCAGCTGGTCGGCTCCTTACAGGGTCTGCTTCCATCTACTGTCCAGATAAAGCAGCCTGGAAGCCCCACCCACCACCTCCACTGCCCAGAGCTGGGCCACCAGCCAGTCCCAGGTGGCAGCCACATGGCCCTGGAGCTTCTTCAAGACAGCTGGGCTTCAGCAGGACGGGGAGGCCGAGACCTGTGTGCTCTCACCCCTCCCTCTCCGAGCTCCCTCCACCCCGGGACCCTGCCTGCGTGGGTCTGCCTCTTTCTCTCCCTGGGCACAGGGCTTAGGGTTGGCGAGCGTCACAGGCCACAGACGGGGAGCTCTGCGCTGGCTGGTGACGCCGACTCCTTATCGCCCACACACAGCCTCAGCACCGCGCCCTGACTATCCGATTAATTACCAGGTGCCAGAACATGTGTGAGTGCATGTTACCTCACCCACAGAGCAGCTGTAGCACTCGTGTTTATGACAGAGGCTCCAGGCTCGGATGTGTTAGGTAACTCACCCCAGGTCACAGCCTGGCAGAACTCAGGTGCCGGAGGCAGTGCTGTGGCACCAGGGACCCTTGGGAACCTTTGTTCATCAGGAGAGCCCTGGGAAAGAAGTCCCTGCCTGGGGTCTCCTCTTTGCCCTGCATTCGGATGTCAGCCTGTTGCGCTCCGTTTAAGCTGCCTCTCTCTGGCCCGTAGTGGAGGGTGTGGCAGCTCCATTCTGGATGGTCCCCGGCACCCTGTGTCTGTGCCAGTGGAAACTGTGCGGTCGGTTCGAGACGGAAAGGGGGCTGGAGGCAGCTTGGTGGCAGAGCGCGCGCTTAGCGTGCACGTGTCCAAGGGTCCACACACGGCACCGAGGGGAAAATGAAGGGAAAGCCATGAAGACCGACTGAAAGTGTGCTACCGGCCCCCACTCGGGTTTTCACAGGCTGTCGGGGGGCACAGAGCAGCCAGGAGACCCTGCCCCAGCACACAGGCGGTGCCCCTCCTCTGCACCGGAGGCCCACCTCCACCACAGCTGGGTCAGGGTCGCAGGCTGCACGTGTGCACTCTGCAGCCCCAGCGTCCTGGGGATGGGCCGGATGCAGATTCTGGGGCCATCCCAGACCTGCCTGATGGAAGCTCTGGGGACCCCTAGGGTCCTGGGGGTGGACCGGTTCCTAGTAGGGATGAGAGAGAGCAAGGCAGGAAGGGCATCTGGGGCCAGGGTGTCGGGGGGGAGGGTGTTCCAGCCTCCAGGGGCCAGGAAGCCGGTGCTGACTTTAGGAAACTGGCATGCCTCCGGCCCCGTGTGCTGAGGGGTGCGACAGAGCTGTCCTCAGGAGCGGGGCCTGTGCAGACAGGGCCCTGGGGCCTGGGCCAAGTGTCAGATGTGACAGGTGAGGCCAGGTCTCGGCCAGCTGCAGTTGCCATGGTCCCCAGTGCTGTTCTTGCTCAGGACCGGGCAGTCAGTGCTTCCTGGAACCAGCGAAGCCAAAGCCTTTGCTCTCTCCCTGCTCAGGGGCCTGCAAGAAACGGGTGCGGCTGGCAGAGTTCTGGGCAGTGAGACGCTCCTCTGCCTGGCCTCACCCACCCGCCGTGTGAAGCACGCAGTGCCTCTCCCTGAGCATCGCCCAGGCTCTGCCCAGACTGCACGCTCCGCTCCCTTATGGGGGCCCAGCCGATGCTGCAGCAGCACCTCTGCCCTCACTGCACTGGAAGACCAGAGGCTGAGTCCCATGTGTGCTGAAGCCTGAGCTCCGAGGACAGGGCAGGGGCTCTGGCCGTGGCCTGCATGTGGGGCTCCTTCCCTGGCCGGGCAGCACCTGCTATGAGGTGTTTCCAGAGAATGCGGGTTTCCTTGGTCCAAACGCCTGGGCCAAGTGGGCCTGGAGGCGCCTGAATGGGGGCTCACGGAGCTGCAAAAGGACCCAGCTCCTGTGTCGCGCTCGGCTGTGGGGCCCTGTAGCCAGCGGGCTGGGTTGCGGCAGGCAGGTCCCTGAGACCAGAATCACCGCTGGCTTGACCCGACCGACGAAGCCCGGCCTGCCCGGCCATCCGCACAGAGGGGCGCTGAGCTCTACCCCCAGGTCCGCTGGGCTCTGGGCTCTGTCTCGCTTGCTCCCACACTGGATCCTCCCCTCGTCCTCTCTGGAGGGCTGCAAGTTTCTAGCGGTGACGGTCACAGTGGCCAGGCGCAGGGGAGCCAGGCAGTGGGCCAGGTGGGAGCTGGGGCTAGGTCAGCTCTGAACCCTGCCCACGCGTGGCTGTCTGGTGAAGGCCGCAAGGCGAGGGGTCCAGATGAGTCCATTTATTTAAGGCTGTATTTCATTTGGAAATGTTGAGAAAAGGACTCCAAGAATAAAGAAGCCCTTGTCTCCCTCTCCCCAGGCAGTGGCATTAAAGTTGCATCATCTACTCCAGTCCTTTTACAAGAGGACCAGCACTGTGAAGTCCCCTTTGTCCCTGACCCCACCCCAGCCCACCTGGGGGCCGTGACCTGGTTACTTCCACGTCAGGAAGGCTCTGAGTCAAGGGAACAGGAGCCCAGCCCAGAGTGGCCGTGGCCAGCACCTGCTGGCCTCTTCTGTCCACTTGGCCCCCCTGGCCTGGGCTCCAGACTTTTTGGCAGGGCAGCAGCTGGCGTGGATCTCCAGCAGGGCAGGTGTGGGTTGCAGAGCATGGTCCTGCCTACGGCCAGGATGACCTCCATTATCCCCTTTCCTGGACACCCAAGGTCTGCCTCTGGGAAATAAGCTGAGAGCGCCGAGGCTGGAGCCTCTGGAGCTGCTGCTGCTCCACAGGCTCCCTGTAGAGATGAGAGGGAAACCTGAGCCCACAGCCAGACAGACTCGGCTGTCTGGGCCCCAGCCCCTCCGCAGCCCCGCCTACCAGGGCGACTGATGCAACCCGCTGGCTTCTTGCTGCAGCCGGAAAGCCGGGCCTGGGGGAAGGGCCGCCTCCGGTGATGCCCGGGCCCACGCTGGTCCTTTAGGAAGTGTGACTCCTGGTCGAGGAGGCCCCACCCCACACACCAGGCTCAGAGCTTAGCGACCCGGTAGTGGGCAGAGGGCCAGACTGGACGCGCTTCCGAGTCCGCAGCACCAGGAGAAGGGGCTCATCCTAGCCGTTGCAGTTACAGTAACCACCGCCGAGTACCTCCAAGCAGCAGCGGGTGCGGCGTTGCGTCAGCCGCAGCTTTGGAGACCTCTGGGCCGCGTCCTGTCCCGAGAGCAGTTGCCACCGGCGGCGGGCAGGATCAGGGATCCAGGATCCGGGGAGCCTTCCTGTTTTCCCGCCCCATCTAATTAGTGTAGATTCCTGTGTTTTGAGACCTGGGCCTGAAATTTTGTATAATTAGCCCAGCTGGAGGAAAGCCACCTGCTGTACTGGCCCCAGCCGACCTGGCCTTTCAGAGTTCCCCGAGGCGGGGCGGAGGATGGGGCGGAGATCTCTGGGCTCCTGCAGCCCGATTGGGGGTGCTGGTTAATGTTTGATGGCAGTGGCGGGCCAGAGGGTCCCGCCTGTGACATCCGTGCTGTGCCGTGCGTGGGCTTGCTGCTCGGGGTCAGGTGCCATGTGGCTCACGTCATGGAGAATCCCCAGGGCAGGGCCCGCGGCCACGTGGACCTTAGGAGCGTGAGGAGCAGAGGTGGTACGAGTAGGAAGGGTGGGCGGTGAGTACCCGTCGCCTTTTTAAATATACTTCAGTTCCGCCTTCCGCTGGGAACAGCAGTGTTTGCTGGCGTCCACAGAGCCCAGGCAGGACTGGCCAGTGTCTGGGGTGCTGGTCCCTCTCAGCTGCCTGCCTGTGGGCCTGACCTCTGGTCTCCTGCAGACACCATGTGCCCTCCCAGCCTGCTTTCAGACTGCCCCGGGCAGGTGCAGTTGTTCTGGTGCCGGGACTGGCCTGGGCGAATTCTCAGTTCCCGTTATCTGCTGCTCAGACTGCAGCAGAACTGGATGGAGCGTGTCTGCCTCCATCTGCCCAGGGCCGAGACTACAAGGAGGGCTCCTGGGGTGAGAGGCCTGGTCCGCGGGTCAGGCCCTTGCTGTGGTCACAGGCCGGCTCCACGGGGCCCGTTGTCCTCTGGGCCCAGCATATGTCCCTGACAGGATGCCTGTGTTTCATCCGACACCACCCAGGCCACTGCATCCACAGGTGCTGCTGGGTCTCCAGGGTGTGGGGGCAGCTATCCTCCCAGTGGCCAGCTTTCGAGTTTCCCCGGAGTCCACGGTGGCAGGGCCCTGGGGAGGCTGAGACCCACTCCTTTAAAGGGAATCCATGAGGGCAGCCCAGGGACACCTGGGACCCCGGCACTTTGGAGTTTGGTGTTTTCAACGTTTGACCTTGGCCGTAGAAAACCAGCAAGTTCATCCGAGGAGCCCCGGACAGGGACACGGAGGGAGGGGCCGGTGTGGACACAGCCCCGTTTCCTTGGATCCCACCCCCGCCCCGGGCGTCCCAGCCTTGCCTGCCCCTAAAGCGCTGTGAGCGCCTGCCTGGTGGGACTCACTGCCTCTGTCCCCACAGTGCTGCTCACCGCCGTGAACTGCTACAGCGTGAAGGCCGCCACCCGCGTGCAGGACGCCTTTGCAGCTGCCAAGCTCCTGGCACTGGCTCTGATCATCCTGCTCGGCTTCATCCAGATCGCAAAGGGTAAGTGTGGCGCCGGCCTGGCACGTGCTGCCTGCTTTGTGTCCGCCTCATGGGGCGTGGGTTCCAGTCCCCAAGCGCTGTGCTGTGGCATTGCATTTGCCCCTGAGGAAATTTGGAAGGGGCCCAGCCAGTCCCCGAGGAACTCGGGCAGAGCCAGGCACGCATGGTCATGACTGGGCAGAAGCTCTTGGTTCTCATAGGTTTGTGCAGCTACATTCCCGAGTGCTAAGTGTGGGGGAGGAGTCCACCCTGGCCCGGAGGAGGGTGCCGAGTGTCCTGTGCTGAACCCTGGCCCTGGCCGTGCGTCTCCACCACGCACCTGGAGTGTCCTTGGGGTTCTTGGCGGTGTGGCAGCTCCAGGTGATTCTCGAAGATCCTGGGGGCTGCTTGGCTTTAGGCCCAGTGGCAGCCCCAGGAGCCCCTCAGGAGGGACAGTCCCCCCAGGACGCCATCTGTCCTTGGGCACAGGCACCAGGCCCGGAGGCATGCTCCTGTGCTGGGGGAGAAACCTTGCTCTCGTTTCTGTATGTGGAAGTGAAAGATCAGGTTGGGGTGAAAACCTGTGAGCCCTGCTGCCGAGACACCTGCCATCGACACACAGGGCCAACAGGCTGGACAGACCCGGCGTGGTCATGTGCCGTGTGACTGTCAAATCACGCAGGTCGCTGCGTCTCCTCCCCTGGCTGCCTTGCCCTGGGGCTGCTGGCACAGCTGGTGGGAGAGTGAGTCCCATGTGGCCTGTGCAGCACCCATGCTCTCGGTCAGTGTGGGGCAGTGTGGGTGGGCATTGCAGGGAGTCTGAGGACATTCTCACACACCCCCCCGCCATGTGTGAAGCTCCTCCTTTTCCACTGCCATGTAGTATTCCAGCGTGAGAGTGTGCACAGTCGCTAGGCCATCTCCCCCCTGCCCAGGTGGACGAACACAGCCTGGGTGCCGAGTGCGCTCACAGGGGAAGCAGCCAGCAGCATGGTGGGTTGTGGGCTCCACGCTCACCCAGCGTCCCTGGTGTCCAGTTGGCTTGTTACCAGGATGCAGCAAGGAGGCGGGGAGGGGACACTGGCACAGCCTGTCAGGGTCCTGGGGCGGCCGTGCCGTGTGGCCGGTCACATGGCGCGGATAAGAAAGGGGAGCTGCAGCACCGTGGGTGGGAGAGCTGGGGCTGGGGCTGGGGGGGCGGTGCCCCTTCCTGCCCTCCTGCTGGTCAAGTCCGAGACCCCTCGAGGCCCAGGCTCTGTGCAGCCCACCCCCCTTGCACGCTTGCCCCGAGGAATGGCCGAGTGTGGCCTCACACAGCTCCCGTGTTCATGGCCAGCCTCCCCCTTGCCCGGCCTTCCTCTGGGGCACTCGCGGGGAGCCCCGGCCTGACGGGAAGGCTCGTGCAGCTCTCGGGGCAGGTGGCTGTGCAGGCCCCTGACCTTGCAGGCAGCCAGTGGCACTTGCTCCTGTTGTCACCCTTGAAGGACTGTCTCGCCCCCCCCCCAATTCCCAGGTGACTGCGCAGTGGCCCAGGTGAGCTCAGAGCCTCATCCCGAGAGCCGCTGCTCACCCAGGCCCCTGACCTCCCCTCCGGAGCCATCGCAGGCCGGCCTGGGCCCCGGCTCTGCCGCCTGTGCCCTCCGAGGGCTAGGAGCCTCCTGGACTTGGCACCCGGCCCCTTTCTGAAGGGGAGACTCACAGCGGGAACCTGGAGCCCACGTGCAGAAGAGGTGGCAGGCTGCCGGGAAGGGAGCCCAGTGGTCAGGGCCACCATGGGCAGAGGGATGAGCCCGTCCATGCCCACGGCCCTCAAGCAGGTGGACAGGTGCCACTGTGCATGGCGTGGGGAGGGGTTGGCCTGGTGGCCGTGACTAGATGGACTGACGAGGAATTTAGGAGGGAACCTGGTTTTGGTAAAAATAAACTCCAGCTGGGCTAGGGCTAGCGAAGAGCTTTTGTTCGGCCTGAACACAGCGTTTGTCTCATGCCAGTTGCCGTGGAAAACACCCCCACGCCCCAGCGGTTCCTTGCTGAGCTCAGGGATGCCATGCCTCGTCTGCAAAATTCCTGTCCCATTTGTTCCCAGGGAATTGACTATGCTGGACAGGCGCCTTCACTCTGGGGCCGTGTCGAGGTGGGGGCCCTTTCTCCCCCAGCAATTGCCCCGCTTTATTGCCCGTGGGGCACTGGGACCCAGTGCCAACAGAGGCGGCTGTGCCCAGGGTGCCTCGAGGCAGAGACCCAGCCCCAGAGTGCACAGAGGGGCCACTGTCCCTGCGTCCATCGTGGGCCTGCTCTTTGCCCTGGGTGCCCCTCCGTCCAGCGTGGGGACAGTGGCCCTGCTGCAGTGGGCTCCAGCTGGCCGCCTCCCGGTGCTGCCTGTTTCTGTCTGGCTGCTCAGAAATCAGCGCACGGTTGCCAGCCTTCCCCAGAACCTCTGGCGCCCCCTCGCCCAGCTGAGGATGCGGCCCTGCTGTCAGTGGCTCAGGTTACCCTGCAGGGACATCAGACATGGAACCCTGTAAGCGGGAGGCACAGATGGGGCCAGGGAGGTCCTTGGGCAGGGCTCCTCCCCAAAGTCCGGCACAGGAGGAGGCAGTGGGATGCAGGGCGCAGTGCTCTGAAGAGTGGGAGCAGCTCCAGCTGCCCTGGCCAGGCAGGCGGGGCACTGTGAGGTCCAGGGACCGCGCCCACACTGGCCATCCCGGGACTCATCCTGGGCTTGGACAGGCGATACAGAGGGAGGTCTCAGAGGTCAGGGAGATGGACAGGCCGTTCCCAAACATGAGTGGTAGCTGGGCCTTTGTTTCCGAGGCCACGGTGGAGTGGGGTGCTGACGGCCTGATCCTTCCGCCTGGCCAGGGGCCAGATCCCCCATCCTGGGCGACACACAATGGGACCCTTTGTGGTTCTGCTGAGTCGCAGTGTCCAGTGGAGAACAAACTGATCTTCTCTGGCAGTCAGACCGGGCGCCTCGTAGACCAGCAGGTCCCAGTGAGACTGTCCCTTCTCCACCCACGCCGTGTCCTGGCTCGATGCCCCTCTGGGGCAACAGTTGGCCTCTCCCTGTGTCTCTGCCCCTCTGCCCCTCACCGCCAGGGCATCCTGGAGGAGAAACGGGCTCAGACCCCTCCTGACACCCCGCCCAGTAGCCAGTGTGGTCTGCGGCCTGTGAGCAGCCTCCTCGGGACAGGTGCAGCTGAACCCGGGCTCCCGGCAGTGGCAGCATGGCCTGCAGGAGCCTGGGTCTGTCGGGCACTTGGTGGCTTGTGGAAGGGCCGTGTCCTCTCGGCCCTTACACTGGCCAGGTGCCCTGGGCTGGGAGAAGTGTGGGGTCCTGCCCCTGGCCTGCAGCTGGTACAGAGGAGGTCGCCGGGACTGGGCAGAGCTCTTCCTGGAGCGTGCCCTAGACTTCACTGCGGGGCATCGGCCCGTCCGCTCTGGGGTTTGTGGCAGGTGTTGAGGGTGTTAGGGGAGGCTGGTCGCCACGTTGCGGTTGCCCCAGCAGGGCCTGGGAGGCACCTGGAAGCCTGAGCCCTTCCTGTGCTCCTCACCGCGACTCCTGCCGGCTCCACGAGGACAGAGAGCAGGGCTGTCTGCCTTGGGAGACCTGGAGGTGAGCACCGGGGCCCGAAGGGGACTGGAAGCCTGTGAGGATCAGATTGGCACCCGGCCCAGGAAGCGCAGCGGGACCTCCAGCGAGGGACGTCCCTGTCTGCTCAGCCGAGCGAGGACAGACTCGGTGGGGCCACCGCTGGTCTCCTCTGGAGGCCGTGTCCCGGGTCTGTCCCCACAGGCCCCCCCAGTGAGGACTCTAGTGAGTCCTGTGTGTTGGGTCAGGGCTCCATGTGTCCTTAATTATCCCGAGAGGCCCTGAGTCCAGGTGCCGAGGCGCAGGGGTCAGGGCTCCACACCTGAGTGGGGGCCTCATTCCGCCCGCAGGAGGATCCAAGCTCGAGGCGCCGCTCAGCCTGCAGGGAGCTCAGGATCCCACATGAGCCCGGGCAGCTTACCCGAGTGAGAAAGCCAACCACAACCCGCCTCCGGCTGCCAAGGCGAACTTGGACAGGGCCCAGGCTCCCCTTCGTGGGAGGCCCAGCGCACAGGGCTGTGGTGGGCGGGAGCACAGCGGCTCGGGTCACAAGAGAACAGGCGGGACGCTGGGGCCTCTGCACGCCCAGGTTCCTGCCAGACTCCGCGCAGCCCTCCACGCTGGGCGACGGGCCCTGGACAGGGAGCCCTGGTGAGCGCCCGGGGCTGCAGCCACGTGTGACCTCACCTCGGGGACATTGCCGAGTCCTGAAGGGGTGCGGGTGGGGCTCGCTTTTCCCTCGAGTGTTCTTTTTTTGAACCCAGAGGCTTCACACTGAGCTACATCCCCAGCCCTTTTAAAAATTCTGAAACAAGGTCTTGCTGAGGTGCTGGGGTGGGACTTGAACTTTCTCCTGCCTCAGCCTACCGGAGTGCTGAGATTACTGGCATGTGCGGCCATGCCGGCTCTGTTGGGTATTCTTCGGCAGTGTAACTGAGTCCTTTTCCTGGGCCTGCCGAGGCCCTGTGGTGCCTCAGCATGTAAAGAATAACAGGTCTGGAAACACATGCTTTGCTTGTAGATAAGGTCAGAGGACAGGAAGCTGGGCTTCTCCCCCACGGCTGGGTGGGGAGGCCTTTCTAGCGTGGATCTGAGGTCCACAGCTAGTCTCAGAGCCGAAGGACTGCCCCCGAGACGTCAAAGGAGAGGACTGCCTGTTTGTTTTTTGCTTTTTGTTTGAAACAGGGTCTCACTATGCAGCCCAGGCTGGCCTCAAACTCTTGGTGGTCCTCCTGCCTCAGCCTCCCGAGTGCTGGGATCACAGGTGTGTGGCACCACGCCCAGCTAGGACCACCTGTTTTGGCCTCACTCCCCAAACCGGGTTCCTGCCCCACCCCTTCCCACACATCCGGCTGAGCCCAGTAAAACAGGTGCCAGAGCCACGTGGCACATGGAGACGGGTGCCACAGTCCTGCGCTGGCACTGCCTCCGGGGCAGCAGGGCCACAGAGCCTGGAGCCACTGCCCACCGCCTGCCAAGGGTCAGCCCTTCTTACCGCCAGGACACGGCCACGGCCTGGAAACAGCGAGGGCACCTTGTGCCTGTGCCATCCTGGGCCCTGGCAGGCGCTTACCCTCTGTGCCTGAGGCCAGAAGTCCTGGGGTCGAGGTGTTGGCATCGTCGTCGTGTCCTTCCCGAGTCTCCAGGGGACCACAGAGAAGAAAAGAAACACAATTCAAATCCGGGGACCCTTCCTGCCTCTTCCCGCCAAGCCTGGCGGCTCAGGGCGGCGAGCAAAGGCCATCTTTCCAAATAAGGGCAAACTTGCAGTCCCAGAGAGACAGGACCAGAGGTCACTGTCCCTCCCGCACACGAGTGTCTTGGCAGACCAGCTCGTGGAACTGCAAAGGCCGGCGTGGGCTGGAATGTAGGAGCCCCCGGCAGCTGTCCCCGTGCTGAGAAGTGGCTTTCCTGCCACTCGTGTCCTGAGTCCCCCCCGCGGAGCTGCACCGAGGGGTGGGCTGGGCTCCTGACCCCCGATCATCTCCGACCCAGCCCCTTCTCCAGATCACTGGTTTGCCTTTTCCCGGTCCTGAGACACAGACTGGTCTCTGGGGACGGGCAGCCGTAGGGGGCCTCTGTGGCCTGAGCCAGGGCCCTTAAGGCTGGCCAGGGCCCGGGGAGAAGCGGGTTGTTGGTCCCACTCCCGGGCCCTGGGCCACTGCGGGCACCCTCCCAGCTGTCAGCCAGGAGCCCGAGGGCGGGAGCCAGCCCTTGGCTTGGGCTCCGCTTCCCCTGGTGGGGGCTGCTCGTGTGGCATTTGGGGTTCGCTGGGCTCTCGGTTTCTGCTCACGTGGTGCCCTTAAGGCAAGTGCATTCTGTGGACAAGGAGGAGACCTGGGGTGAAGGGCTTAGGGGACCTCACCAGGGCTGCACAGCCTGGCATTGCTGCCCACTTGGCCAGAGCAAGAGAGGACACTTCCTGTCAAGGAGGGCACTGTGCCCCAGGAACCCCACTTGGTGGGAGCTGCTTGTGCAGAGCCTGGGTCCTCCTGTCCCCAGCAGACCTGTGCCGCCCGCTTCCTTCCACCATCTGGTGACTTTCCTGCCTGCTTTCCTGGTCACCAGGCCTGAGAAGTGCCCTGCCACCGAGTGGCAGTGGGATGAGTGAACTGCTCAGTTTCTGGAGTGCTGTGGGAGCAGAATCTTGGCCCTGGGTAGGTCCACAGGAGGGGAGGCCTGGGGTCAGCCTTGCCCAGCCCTGGGCAGTGGCGGCTTTTAAGGACTAGATATGATTTGGACTGGCACTGCCACCTCCCTGGACTTGGTGGGGGGCTGCTGGGTGTCACAGGGCCAGAGCAGCACCTTTGGCTTGGACCACTACACGTTGCACCCCCACCAGCACTCGCTCGAACCCCAGGCGTCTCCAGGCCTCGCCAAAGCCTGTCCTGTTGCAGGTGGGGTGGTTGGAATGGCTACTCTGGAGCTTAAACCCCAGCACCTCATCCCGGAAGGTGCGCTCGGCTCCCTTTCTTCCTCCCTGGGCTGGTGCAGAGCCAGACATGGAGCAGCTGCTGCTGGGAGTGAATTTGAAGGGCGAGTTCACTGCAGACAGTGTGCTGGGGACTGGGCAGCCCTCAGCCACCCAAGCAGAGCTGGAGTTGGAGCAGACAGTCGGGGCAGGTGGAGCTCCGGCTGCTGAGTGCACCCCTGTGCCATGTTAGGCTGTGCCAGCCCTGGCCAGGGACAGCTCTTTGGGGTCCAGACCAGCAGCCTGGTGCCCGCTCCGTGGCGCCTGTGGAGAGAAGGGACCGCCAGCGTTTGGTCTGGCACCAGAGATGCAGTGGCCTCCCATCCCGGGCCGGCATCCAGCCTCTGAGACCGCCAGACCCAGGGCTCTGAGCGGTGGGGCTGGTGCCACAAGGTCCTCAGATGCCTGCCCGTGCCCCAGGCCCGCACCTCCTCCCCTGGGCAGAGGTGAGGCAGTCACGGGCCCTGAGAGCCTCTGCAGAGCCCTGTATACTCCATCCTGACCCCATCGCCCCTGAGAGGCTGTGTGGTCTCAGCTGCCCCTCTGCTCCCAGACGTCACCTTCCTCCAAGGGACTCTGGCCGCTAGGCATGGAGGGAGCCACACCCTGGGCGCCAGCACACTGGTCAGGTTTGGCCTCCTGGCCCAGCCTCCACTGCACTGGCGGAGCCGTGAACCCGGGCCCATCAGAGCATCTGGAGTGTGGCGTTTTGTCCTTGGGGAGAGCAGCTGGCCTCCCCGTGTCCATCAGAGGCTCCTCATCACAAGGCCGGGGGCTGGCCTGTGGGGCAGGGCGCCCTGTGACATCCTGGGCACCATGAGCGGGGCATGCGGTTGCCCTCCTGTCTCTGAGTGCCCTGGCACAGAGCCTTTGTTCTTGTATAGGCTGGCAGAGCCTCAGGCCCAGGCACGGGCGGCCTTGCCTCAGTGTCCCTCCTCGTAGGGCAGCTGCTCCCCAGCAGGGCTCTATGGGCCAGGCCCCGGGACACACCAGGGTGCTACAGGTGTACGGAGAGCTGGGAGGAGGGAGCCCTGGCCTGGCCCAGCCCAGCCTGCCCGCCGCCAGTGAGCCGGGCTGGGCAGTCAGGGACGAGGGTGGTCAAGTGTCTCAGCAGGCGCGTCCAGTTTGTCCCAATGCAAAGCCTTCACCCGGAGTTTTGTTAGGCATTTTGCTGCAGGGACATTCTTGAACTTCCAGCGTGCCCTAACCAGCATGCCTCTCTGTCCTGTGCCAGGTGACGTGTCCAACCTAGACCCCAAGTTCTCCTTCGAAGGCACCCACCTGGATGTGGGGAACATCGTGCTGGCCTTGTACAGTGGCCTCTTTGCCTATGGAGGATGGTAGGTCCCAGAACGCCTGGGCCCTGACATGTCCAGAAATCTCAAATCTCTGGACCATGCTGCAGAAGGGTGGGATAGAGCCAAGAGGCCTCAGAGGAAGCAGAGAGGGGCCCCGCCACTTGGTGCACGGCCTGCAGGTCAGCCTGGGGACCAGGTCCTGCCAGCCGGCAGCCCTCGGGCTGGCTGCACGGGACAGAAGTGCCACAGGGTGGGCAGGCAGGAAGATGTAGAGGCATCAGGACCCCAGAGCAGGCACAGGCTTGAGAGCTGTACTGTCTCTGCAGCCGCCCTCTGCACCGCACCCTGTGGCCTCTGACCCCGGGGACTTGGAAGCCAGCTCCGACCTCCAGTGCTCAATGGGGCTGTGCATGGGGCAGGGCAGGGCAGCTGTGGCTCCGCGTCCATCCCAGGGACAGAGCAGCCTGGTGGGCACAGTGGGGCACCAGCCCCTTCCCTAATGCCCCAGGGAGTAACATCTAACAAAGCCCTGGCCTGGGTTCTAGGAATTACCTGAATTTTGTCACAGAGGAGATGATCAATCCCTACAGGTATGTGTAGCGCGATGCTGCCCTCCCTTCCACGTGATGCTGCTGGGCTCGGCCTGCAGTCTGGGGACCTGGACAAGACCCTGGGGGGGGGGTGGGACAGCGTGCGCATGCGTGGTGGTCCCGGGGGGCCCACACACGGTGGGAGGTCTGGAGGGCCCGGCTGTGACTCCTGAAACCCGAGGCAGCTCTGAGATGGGGCGGGTGGGGACCTTCAGACCGGGTGGGTCACCACACAGGACTCTTGAGTTGTCAGAGCCGTGTGGCTGGCATTGCTGAGGGGCCACCCTGGCTCAGCCAGCTGCCCACTCCGGGTGCGAGCACCTCGTGTGCCCAAGAATGAGGGCTCAGATACGGGGCGCGGTGGGCGGCGGGCTGGACCTGGGTCCCGGCTGCACTCTGACCCGCATCCCTCCCCATGGTGCCCAGAAACCTGCCGCTGGCCATCAGCATCTCGCTGCCCATCGTCACCCTGGTGTACGTGCTGACAAACCTGGCCTACTTCACCACCCTGTCCACAGAGCAGATGCTGTCGTCCGAGGCCGTGGCTGTGGTAAGGTCCCAGGGTCCAGGCCTCCCTCCTGCCCTGAGGGCTGGGCTCCTTGTCCTTGGTCTCCTGAAGGTGACCACAGAAGGCTGTGTCAGGCAGTGGGAGGTGCAGGGCAGCACCTGGATGGGTGATGAGTCAGCATGCCCCGTGTCCAGGCCATGTCCAGGGGCTGGGGGCCCCTCGGACCTCCAGGGCTCAGGAGGGGCGGCTTCGTGTTAGGCAGTGAGTCCTGGGGCAACGTGGCCAGGCCTCTGCAGCCCGGGGCTCTGCCACAGCCCCCACTCCGGGCTAGCAGTCAAGCCACCTTCAGCAAGTGGACTCGGTGTCTGCTGCCTGCCAAGACCAGGACAAGAAGGGCAGAGACCCGACCCCGACAACCCTCCCTCTGCTCTCCGTGGCTGGAGGACACCAAGTGCAGTGAGGGTGACTGAGGAGCCCACTGCAGGGCCCCCAAGTGCCCCAAGCCAGGTCACAGGTGGAGCTGCTGGATGGGCCGTGGGGCTGCTGCTGCTGGGGGAGGCTCACATGGCTCTGTCCCCAGGACTTCGGCAACTACCACCTGGGAGTCATGTCCTGGATCATCCCGGTCTTCGTGGGCTTGTCCTGCTTCGGCTCGGTCAATGGCTCCCTGTTCACGTCCTCGAGGTGAGCTCCCCAGGTCCCCCGGTCCCGCAGCCCCTGCTCCACCTTGCTGCCCATGCTTTGAGAGCTGTCAGTTGTCACCAGGCTCAGTTGGTGGCACAGGAAGCAGGACCCATGCCTCTGCAGGCCCTGAGGGTCGGGTGGCACTGAGGGGCCCCTGGGCTCCCTGCCGCCCGGCAGGTGTGGTTTCAGCCCCGTGGCGTGGCAGGCAGGGCTGACCGCCGCTGCTGTGTCCACAGGCTGTTCTTCGTGGGGTCCCGGGAGGGCCACCTGCCCTCAGTGCTCTCCATGATCCACCCAGACCTCCTGACGCCCATGCCGTCCCTCGTGTTCACGGTGAGCCTCCCTCCCGAGGGCCCCGTGCACACCCACAGCGCGCTTCCTAGGGGCAACCACGGCTCCAGCACCGCAGGAGCGGTCGCACGCTGGGCAGCCTGGGGCGCCAGATGCTGGAGCCTAAGTCTGTGCCCCTGCTGACTGTGTGGCTGTGGACAGTTCAGGCGTCCGAGTGGGGACCTGGCTGGGCCCAGCTTCACCTGGCCCGGGGCTCGGGACTTCTCACTCCATGCTGAGGCCCCAGTGCAGCCCAGCGGCCCGCTCCCGGAGCTGCTCCTCCTCCTCCCCCTCCTCCTCCTCTTCCTTCTTCTTCTTCTCTCCCCGCCAGGCTCCTCGCCCCTGCCTCCCTCTTCCGCCATCCCAGACCTCGCATGCTGCCCCTCGGTTTCCTTTTCGAGACCATTTTCGGTGTCTAGGTGCCCACCGCCCCCTACCAGGGCTCACCTGCCCGTCTCTGCTTCCAGTGCATCATGACCCTGCTCTACGCCTTCTCCAACGACATCTTCTCTGTCATCAACTTATTCAGCTTCTTCAACTGGCTGTGTGTGGCACTGGCCATCATCGGCATGATCTGGCTCCGCTTCAAGAAGCCAGAGCTGGAGCGGCCCATCAAGGTGCGGCTGGCCTGGGTCCCCTGCAACAGCAGGCAGGGCAGAGCATACCGGGATCCTGGGGCCAGATGGCCTCTCAAACCTGGGTGGTGCAGCCTTCCTCTGGCGAGGATGGGGAGACAGCACATGAAAGCACGTTAGACTGCGGGATCCGTTAGTCCAGCCGCCCATGCGTAAGCACAGGCATGCTGGGGGAGCTGGCCGGCAGCTGGCAGCTCCTGTCACCCGGCCAGTTCCCCTTTGGCACAAGGCCGCCTCCCTGTCCTCCACCAATGCGACAGGAGAGCCTGGTCCAAGGGTGTGAGCGGGTGACTCAATGTCCTGGGCCCCACTCCCTGCCTTCTGAGCATGGGCCAGGGCTGGGTATCACGAGCTTTCAGGTGGCTGTCAGTTGAGGTCCCAGGGAGCACCTGAGAGAGAGCACCCGGCACACTGGCAGTGCCCCACCTTCATGGGGACCAAGGGCTGGGAGCAGATACCAGCGGGAGGCCCTGCCACACCGCCATGCTGCCTACAGCAAGGGCACCCGTGGGTGCTTCCCCTGGGAACCTGCCCCGGACCCCTGTTTTCTCCCAGGTGGCCTCAGGCCAGGCAGGGCAGCGTAGTCCCCCAGCCCCCAGCCCATCCGCTCCGTCAGCCCCGTGCTGAGGCTGGGGGAGCCATGCAGGTCGTGGTCTTGCCTTCTGCTGGTCACAGCCACTGTCCTGGGGGCACTGGAGGAAGCTGGCGGGGCGCTGAGGGGCCAGGGATGGGGCTCCCATGGGGCCCACACCTCGCCTTCCTGCACAGGTGAGCCTGGCGCTGCCGGTGTTCTTCACCCTGGCCTGCCTGTTCCTCATCGCCGTGTCCTTCTGGAAGACGCCCGTGGAGTGCGCCATTGGCTTCACCATCATCCTCAGCGGGCTGCCCGTCTACTTCTTTGGGGTCTGGTGGAAGAACAAGCCCAAGTGGCTCCTGCAGGCAATCTGTGAGTGTCGGCACCGCGCCTGGCACCCTGGGTGGCTTCCTGGTTGGGTTTTAGTGCATTGACAGCAAGAGTGGCCCCGCACTGTGGGGTGCGACATTCAGCTCAGTGCACAGCCGCTGATCCGGGGGCAGAGGAGAGGCCGGGCTGCTGGTCCTGGTCCCAGGCCTGCCCCTCCGAGATGGCGCCAGGGACAGTAAAGGACTAGGACGGCCCCTGTGTGGGCGAGGGCGGCCTGTGCTCAGTCCTGTGCCCTGCAGTAGGACCGGAGGCTGCCCGGCCTTGGAGCAGGGTGTGTGCCCAGCCTGGCTCGCTCAGACCTCAGCCCGAGCCCAGGGCGCTGCTCCTCCTGCACCAGACCCCTCCCCAACCAGGTTGCTTCATGGGAGCATCAGGTGTGACCGGGACTGGGGGTCATTGCTGGACACCGGCTGCCTCGAGCGAGGCTGGTGCTGGGTGTGGAGCTGCGGGAGGGGGCGTCACCTGGAACCTGAGGCCCCAGGGGTGGGTGTGGGTCCTGCCCCATCAGCCAGCATGGGGCAGTGAGCTCTCTCTGCCTCTGGCCAGGAGCTGTGGGCAGACCCTGGGGCAGGGCCTGGCGTCCCGGTAAGCCCTGCGGGTTTCTGTAAAGCTGAGGTCTCCGACCTCCTGTGCTACTCTGGATGGTGTGGCCGGGCTGCAGGGCCCTGGCTTCCTGAGGACACCGTGGCTCAGCTTGCACCCCCGGCCCACGCTCGCTCACTCCTGCCCTTCTCCCGCAGATTCCACCACCGTCCTGTGCCAGAAGCTCCTGCATGTGGTCCCTCAGGAGACCTAGCCCGATGCCCGGGAGCCGAGCCGCTACTGCCCGCGAGCGAGCGAGCAGAGCGCACAGCGCCTTGCCAGGTCACACGCCCCTGAAAAGCAGCTTCCGGCCCTGCCCTCCCACAGCTGTGCCGGCACTGCCAGGCGCCCAGCCCCCTTGTCCCTGCGCGGGTGGGGGGCGGCACCGGGGGGACTGCAACTCCGGTACGAATTCAGTCCTGGCAGGTGAACGCCTGCCCGTGGCTCCCTGGGGACAGGGCTCCCTGTCACCTCAGGCTGCTCCCTCCCCCTTCTTTCCAGTTTTCTCTTATTTTAAATTCCTTCGGGGTCGTGTTGACACCACTGAGATGATTATCGCTTAAAGAAACGGGGCAGAGGCGAGGAGGTGGTGTTTTCTCACCTAATGCTGTCTGCAGCGCAGCAGCCTCGAAGGGACCCAACTGCTGTCACAGGGTGTGTGGAACTACTGAATTTGGACGTCACTGTCGTGACCACGAATTGCACTGACAGACAGCCCCACTGTGTGGCCGGGGTGACCTGGTGTGCTAGGCACATGATCACACTGAGCCCCCCAGCCCGGAGGAGAGATGTTTCACTCAGGCAGGTGGCGGGGACTTTGAAACACCCCTGTGCCATGCTCTGGGGCTCTGCCTTGGCTGGAGACCACTGCCGCCCAAGGGGAGGGGGGCGCCCAGCTGCAGCTGCAGGGACCACTGTGCAGGAAGTAGTGTGTCAGGGCACTTTGCGGTGGGCGGGGCATGGACAGGTCCCGGGGCCTCCTCCAGCGGGGCTCCCTGAGACCAAGGACCAGCCTGGGGACCCCACCTCGCAGGGTGGGGCAGCTCAGGGTCCGCGGTGCTGGCTTGCCCTGCCTGCCCTCCACACTCGGGGAGACCCCTGGCTCTGTGCCCAGCCCACCTGGAAGCCCCTTGCTGCCACCACACTCGGCCCACTGGCTCAGGGTTCTGGTCCGTGGGGTGGTTCTATTTCAAAGCATCTCGTTCAGTCCTTTGCTTTTTATTTTGTCCTACCATCTTACCACTGGGCGGGTACTGTGGGCGTCAGGTTTATTTACTCCCATGGCCAGCGCTTAGCCTCGCTGACTTCACGGCGGGTGTGGCGGCCACACTGCACTGTCCCTGTGACCTGCGGAGTGTGAGGCATGTGGCTGGGCGTCTTTCTTGTGTTCGTGGCTAACCTGTTACACTAGGCTTGTTAGGGTGGGTAGTGCTGTTGTATTGTGGGGTTTTGGTATTTTGTTTTGTTATTTTTTAATAAAAAGCAGTTGGAATTCTGAGGCTGCTGGCTGTGCTCTCCTTCCACACCCGATCTGCATGGGAATGTTCTGGGGTTCCCAGGCCCATCAAGGCCTCCCATGGGGTTATCCTTCACCCACGACCCCTGAGGCCCTGCTGCAGGGGCTGGAGAAGGACAAGGGGCCTGTGGGCTGGGACAGTCGTCAGCAGTGACTTCCTAAGTGAAGGCTCAGAGGTGACAGGGCCAGAAGTCACTGGGCTCAGTAAGCCTGAGGCTGGGACATTTCAGTCCGGAGGGGAGAAGTTTCAGGCTAAGGCTGAAGCAGGAGGGGCCTGGCCCGGCCCAGCAGAGGGCCTGGGGGATGCGCAACCTAGGTTAAGGTGGGTCAGGGGACAGCAAGAAATGAGGGATGGATGGGGTGGTGCACACCTGCAATCCCAGCACCTGAGAGGCTGAGGCAGGAAGATTGCTGAGAGTTCAAGGCCAGCCTCGGCTTTATAGTGAGACCTTGTCTCAAACAAACAGATGGGTGGAGGATTTAGCTCCGTGGTTTCACCGCCTGCTGAGCAAACGCAAGGACCCAAGTTGGATCCCTGGTACCAAAAAAAACCAGAGATGAGAGACACTTGTGTCCTTATTTCCACATTTCCTTTAAGTGTGTGCTTGGATAGACCCTACTTCGAGGCTGGGGTCTCTCCTTGTCGCTGAGTGTTGGGGAGGAACCTGCGGGGCCAGGATAGCTTCAGGCAGGAAGCGGTCACAGGCCTGGCTTGGTTCTGCGCGCCAGCGCCCCCCGCTGGTTGCAGATGGCTGGGCGGCTGTGCTGCCGGGCAGAGCAGGGCTCCAGTGTGGCAGAGGCCTGGGGCGGCTTCTCCACGGGTGGCTGGGGGAGAGGCACTCAGGCCCTTAGGGGGTCCCTGCAAAGGTTTGGGTCACCTGGAGCCTTGACCTGCTGAGACGGCAGGGTCTGAGAGAGGCCGTCCTTGTCCCTGTCCCTCGACCCCACCAGCCGGCCTCTGGGAGATTTTAATGACCTTCCTCCCAGCCAGGAAGGACAGGCCCAAACCTTCCAGGGCCGAGGAGGTAACCCCACAGGCCTGTGGCATCGCCCCGTTATTAGGGATAATTGGGAGCTGTCTGGAGGAGGAGGCCAGCATCGGCCGGGCTGAGACAGTCCTTCCATGAGATGCACACTCTGCTGCCCCCAGCAGTTCCAGGTCAGCCTGTTACCTGGCCCCCACCGTCTCCGAGCCCCTATGCTGTCCAGGGGCTACACCTGTGTCCCTCCACAGGCCACCACCACCCAGGCCCTGCCTGCTGGGCACCCTGCCCAGGGCCTTCCAGGGCAGGAGTCCCGGCTGTCAACCCCAGGGCAGGAGATGCCCTGGAAGCCTGAAGAGACCCAGGCAAGGTGGTACCGACCCAGCAGGCTCCCTGTCCTCTGCCTTGGCCTGAGTTTCTCCCCTGCTGGGCCACGCAGGCCTCAAGCACAGTCACCATTGGCCCCGGTGGCCTCTGCTTCTTGGGAAGTCAGCACCCTTGTGACATCCAGCTGTCCCTGCCCTGCCTGCGTGCTGTCTGTGGCAGGACTGGCTGTGGGCCACGGACCTGGCTGCTCCCAGAGCATTGTCACCACCGGCAGCCCTGGGACGAGCCCCTCCCAGCCCCCCATAAGACACAGGACGGGGCCCCAGTGCGGAGTCACGGCCACCACCTCCTCACTCAGAGCCCACGGAACAGGGGCACTGGCTTTGTTTCTTCCAAGACACTTACTAGCGCATGGCAGGGAGGGGAGCAGGGGCTTCCTGGGGGGCCGGCAGCAGGAAGTAAGCGCAGAGGCCCCGGGGTGGAGCCCGGAGCTGCCTGGCCAGGGGAAGAGCCAGGCAGGAGCCAGGCAGGAGGCTTGTCATCTCCTGCAGGGCACGGAGCTGTTTTAACAGGTGTCAAGCAGGAGATTGTGAAATGAAAAACCTAGGTTTATGCAGGGGAAGCTGCGAAAGGATTCCTGGTGGGAGGACTGTGCAAGGAGGGGCTGAGGGTTAGGTGAAGATCACCTGGGGGGGAGGCAGGAAAGAGCAGGTATGGGAGCAAGTGAAGCCCGAGGGGACCCCAGGGGCAGGGGCTTTGGGTTGGCCCTGAGGGCAGGGCCTGGAAGGAAGAAGCCTGCGTGGTCATCCTGCCTCCAGGCAACGCGGGTCCTTGCCTCAGTGATGATGGAAATTAAAACTGAAGCAGGACAAAGCTTTGACGAAGGTGAGAGAAAATAAAGGGGTCAGAGCTCTGACAAGGATCCAGGTGGTCCCCCAAAGCAAAGGAAGAGCAAGGAGGGAAAGGAAGGACTTCAGGGCAGGCGGCTCAAGGAGCCGTGCTGATGCAGGGTCAGCCTGGCCACCCCAGCAGGAGGCCAGCGTCAGGTGGGCCAGGGTGTGGTCATCGAGGCCTCAGGTGAACCCTCAACTCCAGGGCCACGTGGTGCCCATGGGAGGACTCAGGCTGACAGCAGGGTCACTGCAGGTAACCCCAAGGCTAGGGCAGTGGAGACACAGCGTAGCTGAAGGGCCTGTAAATTGGCTGTCCCGGTGCTCAGTCTGGAACGCTGTTAAGGGGCTAAACAGCACTGCTAAACCTGGCTTCACCAACCTTTAGACAGGCACTCCCTGGATGACTAACCAGGCTCTGGGGAGCTGAGGAGGGTTCCACCAAGAGTTTCACAAAGTAAAGGTCAGGCTTTGTTCTACTTTTATTTGCTTTTGATTTGGGGAAGAAGAGTTTGAGATGGGGTCTCACTCTGTAGCCCAGGCTGGCCTTGAACGTTTGATCCTCCTTCCTCAGCCTCCGAGTGCTGGGATCACAGGCGTGCCACACCACGCCCGATTGTTCCACTGTTAGGTATTTATGGAGCATTTGTAGGCCCAAGTGAAGAGACACAGTTTTTAACAAAACCCCTTTCAAGTCTGTGACCGCTTCAGAACACAAATCATGTTTTCGCTGAGTAACAGGTCAGTTTGTGTTTGTGTCACTGTGCTGGTCTCCGTGCGAAAACCATGCCGACTGATGAGGCCAGAGATGGGGACCACGAGCGAGCGGCTGGGTAGAGCCAGAAAACTGCTCCCTAGAACCGAGGCTGGGGCCTTGATGCTGGAGGGAGCAGAGTGGAAGCCGCTGGTGGGCCTGCTCCCAGGACGGGGGTGTGGGCTGAGGGCCTGCACTGCTGAGACCCATCAGGTGGCTCCTACGGAGCCGGAGAGCACCGAGGAGAGGACCCGCCTCCGCCCCAGCCTGGGTCCACTCTGGTCTCGATTTCCTGGCTGCTGATGCCTCAGGGCCTGGACTGTCTGCACACCACACAGACCAGCCACCCGAACAGAGCAGCAGCAGGGCCCCGGCCCTTGGGGCAGAAGAGGGCACCAGAGGCAGCCCCAGGGCCTGCAGGCGGGGAACAGGGCAGTGGCAGGCAGGCGCCCTCGCCCAGGGGACCCTGTGGGAGTACGGGGCTCCCTCTGGGGCAGTGCAGCCCCAGCCTGTGGGCTCTTGGCCTGGCACAGGGGCCTTGGGCTGGCAGAGGGAGGGAACCGACCCTGTGTGGCCAGATAGGGTACGGATGGTGTCACCCCGTCTGGGAGAGGAGAAAGCAGGGCTCCTGAGGTCCCACTGCTCCCCGGGGTGACCTGGAGCTATGGCTGGTGTGAGGTGTGCAGAGCGGCCCTGGGCCTCTGCCTGGAGCCCTGCACCCCAAGGTTGCCTGGCCTGCACCCTGTGTGGCCAGCTGCATCCTCCGCCCTGACACTCAGGCGCTCCAATGGCCACCTACAGCTCCCTCAAGGCCACACGAGCAGGCCAGGTGCCCTGCATACTCCGCAGGCCCGGTTCCAACACAACCCGGCTCTTCTGCGAAGCTGAGGTGACTAAGTGGTGCAAGCAGGGGCACAGCCGGGATTAGCGGGATCAGCGTTGGCCTCTGGAGCATGGGAGACCAGGAGCGAGCAACTCGCCTCTGCCTGTTCCTGGAGATCAAATGCTTTCCCACCAAAGAGGGTGGCAGGGGTGCCAGGTTCCCCTCCCTCGGTGCCCTCTGCAGTGGGAGGAGAGCGGGCATGTGGCCAGTGACTTCAGACCCGAGGCCACCCTGTCCTCCGTGGGAGGCGCCTTCGGGCCCACAGGATCCTCAGAGGAGCCCTTAATCCCCGGCAGCTCCAGACTCGAGGCTGGGGAGAGGTTCGGGCAGGCCCAGGGCCTCTCTGCCCCCTGCCTCTCATGGGCAGCCTGCACTCTCCCTGCTTGGCACACGTGAGCGCCACTGTGCCCAGGGCCTTCGCAGTGAGCGCACCCGCAGCCCAGCCTCCGTTCCTCACTGAATTGCCCAGGCTGGGCTTGTGCTTGAGCCCTGCCCTGGCGGTGTGCGGCCTTGGAGATGCTCCTTCAGCAGCCCTAGAGGGCCTCACTCGGGTGACAGAGCTGCTCTTGCTTGACGCCCGCCCTGTGTTGAAAGCAGGGAGCAGGGTCCAGGCCGCTCAGTCTCAAAGATGCCAGCCCAGGAGGCCTGGCCGAGGGCGCTGTGGCTCCTCAGAGCGCGGGACACGAGGAGCCACGCTGAGGCGTGCACACTGAGCACGCGCTGGACACCGCTGCTGTGTTCACGGAGTGTGACGTGTGTGCCCAGGGCAGGGGAGGGAGCGGACCGTGCAGGCCTCGTGAGCCACAGCGTCACGGAGGCACAGGACAGAGTGGACGGGGCCAGGGGCCACAGGGTTCCTGGGGGGCACGGGACATGGCAGTGAGACCCCGGCCGGGGCCTGGGACGTCACCCAAGAGTTGCAGGGGTCTGGGGCCTCCAGGCGGGAGGAGTCGGGGCCGGGCAGGAGAACAGGTGCCCACGGCGCCCTCAGGAGCCCTTGGCGAGCCAGCCGCTCACTCAGTGTTCACAGTTCAGGAAACCTCTCCCACCTCTGGGGCGCTGGTGAGGCGCTGGCCTCTGAGGTGGTTCTCGGGCCACACTGGGGGTGAGGTGGGGCAGGAGAAAGGAGACGTGAATTTTAAACA